GGGTGCCCTTTAAACCAAAAAGGTGGTACGAATACGCTGGTTTCACTACGCACTAAAAGAACACAACCGCACGAGGGATCACGAGGGAACGTGGACATCTTGTGTGTCTTCACCTGTGCCGGATTCGACAACATTGATACGGTGTCTCTCGCTTTGCCTCGCTCTGTCCCTGTCTCTCTCTCTCTCTCTCTCTCTCTCTCTATCTCTCTCGTCAACGAGGGGCCTGCGATTCATGTTGCTTTTCCGCCCCGGCCCCCATCGATTGCCTTTTGGCTCATAAACCAACCCATAACAAATGGAGGTCAATCAGTGGACCATGTTGGGCTTAGAAGCCAAAACATAGAGGTCAGGGCAAAAGAAAGAGCTCAGGCTTGGAACAGAACGGGGGCCCCTCTCTTCTGACAACTGCCGACAGATTCTCAAAGTGCCTGGCGGAGCCACGGCGAAGTGAAGGTGCCACGCCGTCATTGCGGAAGAGAACGAACTCGATTTGTCTGTGTCCCTAAACTTGGTTGACGTTGAAAGGGGTTTAATTTTAGCAGTTAAGTGGGGATTTCCCACTAAACCACAATAAGGCAAAAATGGGAAAAATGTTACCCAACAACCATGTGAATGGGTTTCAGCAAGTGGGCGCTAGGATGCGGCACACATGAGGTGAGTGTCGAACTCGGTGCAAGCTGGAACTTGCTAGAACCTGTTTGGGGTCCCTTCGATAAACCATGCACCTGGTTGTTCAAACTGGAACTCTAACTCACGGCATATAAGGAAGGATCTATTTTGAGCAACCCAAATGCATGGGCTTGTTTCGACTTCCCAGAAGCTGGAGCTAACACATGGTGGTTGACAATGCGAATGACAAACAGGTGGGGAAAAAACAAGAAACCATGCCCTTTGGGCTTCCTTGAGGGGAATTAGACATTCTAGCATATTTGGCGCCCATCGTGACTAAATGGAAGGCGCGGTGCTTGCTTAAAGCAAGTACAGCAACTCCTCAACCAACATTCGTATTGATGCATAAATCATCGCGCAAAGGCACTCGAGTTGAGCCTCTGGCTGCGCATTACTTCCAAATGGGCTTGCGCATTCGATTTCCCCGGCCCTTTGAAACCAATCCCTCGGCACACCCACCGGCACAACCAACGTGCTACTATAGTACTGTAGTCATGCAATGAACTTCCAGTCGCATCCAGCCTTAACCCCCTCTAGTACTATGGCAACCCTTCATGGGAGAGGCTGTTCCCAAGTTCATTTTTTGCGCCCACCTTCCCAGCTTTCACCATTTGGCCAATTGGAATTGCACCATCTTTGGGCGCATCGGCCAGGTGCGTCATTGGCAATTGAGCCATTTCAGCTCATCCCTTTGGCAAGGCTTGCCATCGACCGCTGTGAAACCACCCTGTTCGAGAAGGGGGACAGCCTCCCCCCAGCATCGCTCCGGCCCCGTTTGAACCGCTCCTCAAATGCGGGAAAGCTTTTGGATGCTTTTGATGCCTTGAGGAATCCAAGAGAGGGCCGATCCCTCATGTTGAGACAAACGATGTGCTCTGGCCAGCCATGCGGGGGGGCTCCTACACGGGCGAGCTGGTCACTGCGGACCCCCGGATTTTCCAATGCCATTGGACCCCTTTGGTTGGTTGGTGTTCAAAAGAAACCAATAGGACACCAACAGTTTCCATCCCCCCGTTTGTTGCCCTGTCTCTTGCTTCACTACAACTAAACTCAAAATATAGCACAGCCCTTCATGCCAGCTCTATATGATCAACCGCGCGGACGAGTGCCCGGTAGCGTATCCCAGGGCGGCTTGGTATGGACATGTTTTCTTCTGCATGGGTCTGGTCTGGCCTGGTCGGACAACCGACGTGGAGTGCATAACTACATTTGCCTAGGGACACTCCACAAACACTACATACTGAAATACTGGCGGGTCCGCCTGAAAATGAAACAAGGAACTTAATCGCGTGGGGAAACAACAAAAACACCAACTGCTTGCAGGGTGGTGTATTCCTCATTTGAGCCATAAGTGCAACTCTCCGAACAAGACCACCGTGAAATAACCCAACACAAATCGTATGTCCCCTTAGATCCTCTTCAAAACCAACCCAAACAGCTTTGTAAAAACCAATACTGTGGACGGACGAAATCCTGCACCACTTTGAAACCATTGTTTGTTTGCATTTATAGGCGAATCGTCATTCCAGGGTTTCCCAGGTGGTGCAGGGTTTTGTCCATCCACAGTCCAGTGTGAAGAAACACCTCAACTCCTTCCTGGGATTTGCTGGAGCAAATCCATGCGGCAATTCCGGGCCGGCCCCCAGCCTTGACCGGCGCCACGGGTCTGTCCCAAACACGCGGACCGAAGGGGACTGGCACCCAATGGCTTCAATGGAACTCTCAACTCACACCTGGGGGTCTTTTTGCCTGTGGAAAGTGGGCGTTTGGCATACCTCAACTCCTGAGTGGATTGGCCAATGAGAGAATCCTTCACCATGAGCGGTGGTTCTCAAAGGAACCTTCACTGGCCTTTGTTCGCTCGCAAAGCCTTGTGTCGGTCGGCATATGGCCATGGGTCAAAATCCCGTACCTCCAGTGAACATCCCAATCCCCACAAAAATAGGTTCTAAAATGGGTGGTGCATTCACCTACCCCAAAATGGGATCCCATTGGTTTTGACGCACAGCCATATCTTACCATTTCGAAAAAAAGAAGCACAAGCCAGCACTTCCAGGCAGTCCCCATTCTACCTCGGTTTTTGGGAGCTGTTGCACCCAAAAACTGATTTGTAGATCATGCCAAGCTCAAGCAAATCAATCAACATCGTATGGTTGGGAAAAAAATAAACCACCAGGGAACCACAGGGTTTAGTCCATGTTTCCATTTACCAGGGTTCCCATTTTCGGGTTACCCTATTCTTGACCCACTGCCACATCTTATGGTTGGGACTGTTTCCTAACCTCGATCTACCTGAGTCATGAACCATTTTGTTCTGTGTTTCAGGACACACCCATCTCAGTCTGCTCACTGAACCGCGATCTCCAAGTCCAGGGCTGAGTACAAACTTACCACAGGCTGCCCCAAACCTTCTTTTTCACTTCCGAAGAACTATCAAGTCCAGAAAAACTGCCCCAAATTTTCCCGAGGATGGTTTTTGGAAGGAACCCAAAAAACATCCTGTCCCTTGGGTGTGCGCCTGACAAGCTTAGGTGGTCAGTACTCTGAATTGACCTATAATTACTGTGGATGGACGAAATCCTGCACCACCTGAGAAAGCGTGGGAAACCACTGTTTGTGGGCATTCACGGGGGAATCATTCTTCCAGGTTTGTTCGGGGGGGTGCAGGATTTCGTCCATCCACAGTATTGCCGTACCCGTTGACTGCGATAACCCAGACTTCCTTTACCCAGGCCAGCGCTGTTGCGAGCTTCCCTCCTGACATCTCCTGATCCTCTGACACCTTCCCTGTTTGGTGCGGCACATATACGTGGTTCTTAGAGATTGGAGGCACCCCCAAATGGCCGGTTTTTACTCGTACGAAAGGGCCCCAATCATAGCCAAAACGGACACCAGGTTCGCCAGATTGGACATGGACAAACGCAACAAACCGGTTGGGCCCTGTTGGTTTCATTGGGGGGCGGGGGGTTTGGCTGACAAGCTGCGTTCATCGACAAGCGGGGCAAAGTGAGGACGTCCCGCTTCTCGACACCTGCAGCGCAGCTTCCTCCAACCGGCGTGTATTACAAAAGCCGCAACACTCTCCTGTCCATTAACATGGAACCTGACCGGGAGTGCCTTCAAGAGGAAAATGGTCCTTCATGACCCCCCAAACGTCAGGTTCCATGTTATTTGGTGGGAGGGTGAGCGAGGCCCCAGATTTCCACAGCCATGTTATGGGTGAATTATTCTTCCTCGTGCGAACATGCATGGGGCTGGTGTTCAGTCCGCAAAGTTACGCTGCATCGCAGCCAGCCTCTTACCGAAAATTAAGCGAACTGTCGATAAATCCCTGAGCATAGGCCATGGAATTTTCATGTTTCCGATTGGGAAGCACAAAGGGAGCAACTCCTTTCAAAACCCAAAGGAAAGAACAAGGATTTCCTTCGAACAGCCAAACGGCTTCAAGAAAACCCCAAGTTTGATCACCCGTGAGGTTCTTTTTGCTAAGGGAAATCCAAGCTGTGTCAAAGCCTCACCTTACCTGCCCTCAGATCCCCTGCTAAAAGTGCCTATTTAGTGGGTTCAATGGCAACCCAACCAGCAAACCCTAAACAACAAAAACCAAGGGGATGGCTGCAAACCACCAAGTTTCACTCTTCCTCTCTTAATACTTCTTACAAGTATAACGGTGGCCCTGGGTCAATGACGTTGGTCAAACCACTATTGATAGGGTGTCTTTCACCATAAGGCCGCCAAACAGTTTAATGTGTGCCATCCATGTTGGAAGGAGCTGTTTTCCCAATATTGGGCCATTGCCAAGGTTCCATGTTGACTTGCATGGGAGTGCCGCGGCTCTGAACACATATGGGCGTCGCCCCGAGTCAGCGAACTCATCCCTTGTCCGAAGTCTGTTTCCACACAATCAGCCCTTCAAAGTAAGCAAGCACGAGCTGCTGCTTGCACGGTTGGCATCCCAAACGATGTTTGACTGGCGCGCCTTCTTTGTCAACACGCACACACAAAAATGGACGTATAGACTTTGGTACTATCGCGGGGATCGCGGCACGAGAACGGAAAAATCGCCATGGATAAGCACGGAACACATTTTCAGAATAAGCACGGCATGAGCGTGGAAAAACGCCTACGAGAATTGCGTTAATGCATAGTCTTGCTACCGTGAGCTGCCCAAACGGCATACAAACATTATACCAGCTGTGACCCCAAATAGCAGAGCTCACAAGGGAGTGCTCCGGCAATTCGCTTGCTGAGATCTGCATAGATAGTGACGCCCGCTTGCCAGAGTTTTGGTGGATTTGCTTAACACGCCGCCTTTTCAATGGCTTCGCCAACGCGAGCTGGCAGCCAGAACAAAGCGCTCCGAGAAAGCTGCTTGAAGACTAGCCTATGCTGGGGCGTGTCAAGGAATCCAAATATTTTTCAATGTGGTTTTATTGTTCGCCAGTGGCAAATATCTTGGATTGGTTGAAAAGAGTCGGCGATCGTTGCGTGCTCTCACCTTAGTTTTGGAGACGGCTGAGGTTCGGCCCGGCTCGCCGCCGTGCCAGAAAGCCCGCCCAGCTCTAATTCTCAGCCTGCGGCCCTGCGCAATTCTGAGTCTCAGCCTACAGCAGCACCCTGCAACAGCACTCTGACGCGCAACCCTGCAACAGCATGCTGCGCAACTCTGAGTCTTGGCCTGTGGCAGCACACTGCAACAGCACCTTGTCGACGCACCCACGACAGCACCACACCCTGCGCAACTGTGAGTCTCGTCCTGCGGCAGAACATGCAGCAGCACCCTGCAACAACACCCTGCACCGCTGCTGAGTCTCGGCCTGCAACCAGTACCTTGCGCAACTCTGAGTCTTGGCCTGCAGCAGCTGCGGCAGCACGCAACAGCACCCCAAAATTTTGAGCCTCGGCCTGCGGCAGCACTGTGCAACTTCTAGACTCGGCCTGCAGCGACACCCTGCAACCTGCACAACTCTCAGACTCGGCCTGCAGCAGCTATTTGCAGCAACAAGTTGCAGCAACGCCCTTTGCGGCAGCACCCTGTAATAGCACCCCTGCGCAACTCTGAGTCTCGGCCTGCAACAGCACCCTGCAACAGCACCTGGCCAGTATTCTGAGTCTCACCCGCTTGAAGTTAGAGCCTCTATAGCTTTCAGCTATCTGGGGAAAAACCAAAACATAACCCGAACACATTGTCACTGCGAACAACACCTGTGTACCAATTCCGCAAACCGAGACTCCGAAACCCTTTTCGAGCAGTTGACTCGAGCAGAACATCTGCCCATAACTTAACAAACATCAAAACTACGCTACGCAATCAACGCAGCTTGCAACTACTACTTACATTGAAGACGACCAAGCAAAAAACCAGCTTTTCTAGTAGTTGATTCTTCATTCTTTTCAATCAGGTTTCTTTTCAAAAAACCGACCGTTTTCAGTGGGTTTCCGGAGGTTTTTCTAGACAAAAATCCCTGGAAAGCAGGGGCAAATAGAGCTTTCAAGCACCAACTGCCAAGCGCAAAGAAGAACCACGCAACTCCCAACTCCTCGCAACCTCACGTTCGGCGCCCCGGCAAAGCGGGAGCCGCAGGAGCTGCACCACACCTGCGTCTGTGGCAGGTCCAGATTCACTGGGAGCACTGGCCATGAGCGAAACAATGCGCCCACATGGAGCAACGTGAAAAGGCCGCAGAAAACAAACCCTGGCAGCAGCCAACAAGCCTTGCTTGGCCTGTTGGGCGTCATCTCTTGGAAGATTCGCGCATCAGGAATACTTGGGTGACCCTAAATGTGTTCTAGCAAGCGGGCTCTAGGGTGCTACACACACATGTTTGTCCTTTCGTGCAAGCTGGAACAAATTGGTTAGACCCCATTTAGGGCTGGACTGGTTGAGCCTGGCCTCTGTGTCACACATGGAAGGTGATGTTGTCTTCGGATTAATCAACCTTGCGGATTATTAAGCGTGTGCTTCCGCAAAGGTGAAGGATTGCTTCTTGGATTCGGCACCCCGGTACTAATCAAGCAGGGATTTGTGAATCTTAACAACTTTCATAACTGGCATTGATAAGGTTGCTGTTTGCAGCAAAACAGAAGCAGGGAAGCTGAACAAGAACCAACAACACCTAGTTGCCCAGTGGCCATAAAACAAATGTGAACTCACTTGGCTTGGCGATTTTTTGTGCGAAACCGACAGAAACAACAAGGGAAGATGTATAACACCCAGTGAACAAGCAGGAACACGTGAGTCCTAAGGATCAAGATCAAGCTTCCGCCTTTCAGTGCAAGCGGATCGGATCACATAGACGTAGAAATCGACGAACTAGGAATTTGCGTAGGACATAGACAAAGTCGAAACACTTGAAATGGCTGTGGCTCAAACATGTGCCAAATAGCACCTTGGCAACTGGAATCAAAGACTGAAGCCTGCGTAACCATAGCTCGTCAACTTTGAGCCACACCCAAATGAGAGATCCAAAGTGTTGGACGTAGAGCCCCGTTTGCTGTCGCCTCCTTGGCCCCTTGGCGCAGCACAGCCTGCACGTGCCTGGCAAGGCGTTTACAAAAATCGGGGATCTCGTGGATTTTGTGGAGGGAACTCTTGGTTGATTTCTAATGGAACGGTCCGCATTTTGCGGCAAGTAGAGCTTTAGAAAGGTCAACTCAATTCTGAAAAGTGCGCACGATGTTCCTGGCATCATTGATGTGGCCGCTCATGGTACCTGAATCTGTGACTTTGGAGGCCAGTGCAGGAGGACCTCGACTGCAGCCAATGGGCCTGACCAGACTGGACCTGCACTTGGGCTGGTCAAATCGAGCGGGACAGCCAAGGTCTGTAAGTCTGGAACATACTCGCCAAGGTCAATGAGCCCCCCTTTTCAGGTTGCTTCACAGGAGAATCAAAGAACCACCACCATTTTCGGGATCCGCATAAGGTTCTTGGTTTCGGCAAAGCAAAGAAGGGCATCCAGCTCCTACCGTATATGTTGTTGCATGTTTTTTGCCAGATACAACTTGGGAACAGGGGACAAACCGCCGGCCACAACTGGGAGGCAAAGGCTGAACAAAGGGTGCACCCAACAGAAGAACCGCGGAGGCAAACACAGATCCCATGAACCCTCCCGCAATCCTGAACCCAGTCAAATTGCAGAGGTACCTTGCAAAGAAACAAATGTGGTACGTAGCTCGCGGGCCAAACAAACTGCAGGTTTTGATTTCAAAGGGAAACCGCTCAAAAAATCAAACAAAAGGTCACCACTGGAGGTGGCCAATGCAAAAATATAAGCGTTCGCTAATGCAACCTTCGCATCCCCTCAGATTGGACCTGTTGTGGTCCCAGGCGAAGCATTCATCCTTGTTGAGATAGACAAGTGGTACTCGGACAGGGTCCTTCTCATGATGTCATCTGCTGTTCGGTTACGCCGTGTGTCCTGACATATAGGTTTCGCTTGAATAGAAGACATTGGGCTGAACCAATCTTGGAGGGTTATGGGGACTGTGAACCAGAACAGGGGGGAGGCTCCCCCCCGTTTGAGTTTCATGCTATGCTGCTGATGAAATCAGCCCCAGCGGAACCCTCAGAACCGTCCGGAACAAATGCAAAGGCCGAACATTAGAATAGCGTACTCCTCGAATTCGGATGAATTTACCAAAGTACCAACAAAACCTCTCAAATTATGTATCAAGTACCCTTAACGGGGTAAACTGGCGGGGGTTCCATTTTGACACCCAGACCCTTCCAGCTTTCAGCTGGAAAAAACACACACAAAAATCGGCCTCTCGAACTCCTCCTCATAGCGCTGCCGCTCCGCCGTCCTGACGGACGCAAAGTCTCGCAGCGAATTTATGCTTTTCACTTCGGCTTGACTTTGGTGGCGTGGTGCTGATCTACTCTGAGTCTTGCTTAGCTTGACTTGCTTGATTAGCTTGCTTGGCTTGCTCGGATGCGGAAGGCAATGGTTCGCCCTATTTGGATTGGATGTATTTTGTCGTGGCCGTCAAATGTTGCGCTGGATCAACTTCGGGTGCTTCGCTGAGCTGCAAAGATGACCCACCTATCTATACATCCCGCAACTGCAGGTAGCCGCATGGTCCATAGCGGTGTGATACGCATTGTACTTCCTGTGGTCCTCTTCTTCGCTTTTCAAAAGCATGTTGCTGTCTGTTGCAAAACATAGGTAGATGGCAGAGATCCACAACATTTACAGTACAACAAAATACAACCCCAACATCCACAACCCAATACATAATAGACACCCGTGTTGCCAAACAACCAACCAACCAACGAAGTAACCAACCAACCAAACGAACACCCGACCGACCGACCGACCAGCCAACTAAACAAACAAAAAGCAAGCGAGCAACTAAAAACAACACAAACAACACACAAACAAAACAAAACAAACAAAGAACACAACATAGGCAGCACGATCCACGCCAGTTCCTGTTGGCCCATCTTGGCTTCCCGGCGACATCGCCTGCTCTCGGCAAGTGGACTCGCCCTCATCTTCTTCGGTCTCGCAGTACCGGCTGCATGGCGATTGGCCCATGACCTGAGGTCTTCAAAACCGGTGGGTGGCTCGTCGTTTTTGGGGTAATGTTGACCCCGATATTAATCAACCCCATTTTGTTCATAAGGATATTAATGAACCTCAGTTTTATTGTTTTTAAAATTAATATTCATCAACCCCAGGTTATTGATAAGGGGGTGTCCGTGGGTTTAGCGGGAATCATCACTATTGGAGGGTAATACGTGGTTGATTAATATGGGGGTCAAGATTACCCTTTTTGGAGCGGTCTTAAAGGGAAACCGAAAGGACACTTTCCATATTAGCTATTTGTCAGTGTCCCCATAGATGCACCCACGGAACAATGCTCAAGGGCTTTCAGGTACAGGTTTTGAAGGTATGCATGCTGCATGATGCATGCTTCCTCCAGGGTAAGCTTGTTACACAGAGCCTCCATACCTCAAGCCGCCCTTGGAAGATGTCCATGAAAACCAACGACTCCAATGCAAGATGCCCCGCAAGCCCAGGTGTCCCCCAGCAACAACCCCCCTACCCTTCCCCCAGCTTGGGTGAACCCGAATCACCCACTTGGCTCGTGCTGCCGAAAGCGTCCAACACTGGGCTGTCCGTTTTCAGATCCCCTGCTAAAAGTGACTAATTCAGGAAGCGGATGGCTGGGAACCGCCAAGAAAATATTTGGATGGGCACTGGGTCCGCAACCACAAGCCAAGCAAGAAGCTCAGAATTTCGAGGCTCCACGCAGGAGTTGGGAGGTCGGTGGGCTCGGGGCTCCGCAATCGGCGCTTCGGAAAGCAGCTGCGGCTGGCAGCCGAACAAAATGGCTCAGCTGCTCACCAATTGGTGGCTAAAAATTGGTTGCTTGGTGGTTAAGGGGTGGAAAATCCCATCTACCCTCTACAAGAACCAGGGGTTCAAATCGAGAGTGCAAGCCCAGCTTCGAAATTTACATGCCTGAATCATAATTCACCAATGTACAAGAAGGAACACCCTTGTGAAACAACTTCATGAAGTCACTATCCCTCCTGAACCCATTAACATGACCATTTAAACTGCAACGATTGGTTGGTGCAAGCAGGGCATACAAGGGGCCCAAATCATAGCTACCACATTTCCCTTTCAAACCAGCAAGGAGAAATAAGAACTCAACTTATGCATATTGAAATCATGTGACCATGTGGGGTAGCACAGTTGAACAAGGATCCAGACACATATTTAAACCCCTGCACATTAACATGGAATTCAAAAACGTTCACGTGTAGAAGAAACTCCTTTTTGGGGGGCCCTTGTTGAGGTTGCATCCTCAGGAATGCAACTTGCAACATGCAGCCGGCAAAGGCACCGCTGCCAATCCTTGCCAATAAAATGCAGCCTTGGAAAATACATGGTCCAACGTGGGTCACGGAGTTGGGCATGGTGCCAGTGAGCTGCAGCTTCAAATGCACTTTCTCCAGTCAGTCACGGACATGGACATGGTCACGCTTGCCAAAAAGCTGCAGCCTTTGAAGACATCTTCCCTAATCATAGTCACGGAGTCGGAAATGGTGACGCTTGCCAATGAGCTGCACCCTGCAAAGGCACGTCTTCCAAACTCAGTCACGGCGTCGGGGATGGTCACGCTTGCAATGAGCTGCAGCCTGCAATCGCACGTTCCCCAATCATAGTCACAGAGTTGGGAATGGTCACGCTCGCCAATGAGCTGCAACATGGCCTAATCTCAGTCACGGAGTTGGGATGGTCACGCTTGCCAATGAGCTGCAGCCTAAGAAGGCACCTTCCCTAATGTAAGTCACGCAGTCGGGAATGGTCACGCTTGCCAATGAGCTGCAGTCTGCAAAGACATCCCCAATCTTTGTCACGGAGTTGGGGATGGTCGCGCTGGTCAATGAGCTGCAGCCTTTGAAGGAACGTTCCCCAATGATAGTCACGCAGTTGGGAATGGTCACGCTTGCCAATGAGCTGCAGTCTGCAAAAGCACATCCCCGACTCTCAGTCACGGAGTTGGGGATGGTAACGCTTGCCAATAAGCTGCAGTCTGCAAAGGCAGGTCTTCCAATCTCAGTCACGGAGTCGGGAATGGTCACGCTTTCCAGCGAGCCACAGTCTGCAAAGGCACCTGCCCCAATCTCAGTCACGGAGTTGGAAACAACTTCCTGAAGTCATTATCCTTCCTGCACCATGACCATGAAACTGCAATGATTGATTTGTCCAAGCCCCAAACCATAATGTCCAATCGGGATTAGTAAACGGGGGTCCCCCCCCCCCCCCCAACGATGGGGGCACCTGGAATTGTATCTTGAGATCCAGTTCAAGTGAGTTTCCATTTGATTTAGTATTGGTAGACTTGAGCTTCCATTTGATTTAGTATTGCTGGAGCTTCCTTTTGAGATTTGGAGCTGAGTTTCCATTTGATTTAGTATTGCTGGAGCTTCCTTTTGAGATTTGGAACTGAGTTTCCATTTGATTTAGTATTGGCAGACTTGAGTTTCCATTTAATTTAGTATTGCTGGAGCTTCCTTTTGAGATTTGGAACTGAGTTTCCATTTGATTTAGTATTGCTGGAGCTTCCTTTTGAGATTTGGAACTGAGTTTCCATTTGATTTAGTATTGGCAGACTTGAGTTTCCATTTGATTTAGTACTGCTGGAGCTTCCTTTTGAGATTTGGAACTGAGTTTCCATTTGATTTAGTATTGCTGGAGCTTCCTTTCGAGCTTCCTAAGAGGTAACTGCAATTAGGGAGTTGCATTTTTCAGGGGGGCCAATGCATCAAGACTTTATTGTAGGGGCCCCTGGAATAAAGTCTCGGGCTTAAAATTTGGGGGGCTGAAGTACTACCCCCTTTTTGGGTTTGACGGTGGGCAGTTTTCAAACAAGAGACATGTAAGGAAACTTGAGTTTGGGCAAGGTCTGCAGCTTGGATTTTGGGAACAAAGAAGCAAGCTTCACCAGCATCACCTTGGACTGTTTTTGAATTTGGCCAGTTGGTTAGCTAAGAGGTAACTGCAATTAGGGAGTTGCATTTTTCAGGGGGGCCAATGCATCAAGACTTTATTATAGGGGCCGCTGGAATAAAGTCTTGGGCTTAAAATTTGGGGGGCTGAAGTACTACCCCCTTTGTGGGTTTGATGGTGGGCAGTTTTTAAACAAGAGACATGTAAGGACACTTGAGTTTGGGGAAGGTCTGCAGTTTGGATTTGGGAAGAAAGCAGCAAGCTTCACCAGCATCACCTGGGATTGTTTTTGAATTTGCCTGGCTATCTCTCCTCTCCTTCCTCTCCTTCCTCTCCTTTTCTTTTTTTTGATTTTTGTTTGTTTCTAAATAAAAATGGGCAGGGGTGGCGGGTGCTTGTCTTTATTCTAGGTGCATTTATTAATCATTTTGGGCCCCCCATTTGTCTTTATTACAGGTGCATTTATTAATCCTACGTGGACATTAGCTACCACCTTTCCCTTTCAAACCAAGAAGGGAAGCAAAACACAACTTATGCATATTGAATAATGTGACCATGTGGGGTAGCACCTTTTGAACAAGGATCCAAACACACATTTAAACCCCTGCCCGTTTAACCATGGAATTCTCACACCCTGATGTGCAGAAGAAACTGGTTTTGGGGGGGGGGGGCGTTTTGAGGTTGCAACTTCAAAAATGTGTCGCAACTTGCAACATGGACTCAACAATTATGGGAGCGGACTCACACGGTGCTGTTCTCTACAAACTGGCTGTTGGGGGGTTGGGGGAGCCGCAGCCACATGGTTGGTTCAACCAATCCCAATGACATCATACTCCTTCCCGTTCACGCCCGCAAAGAGTTGCAGCCTGCAAAGGCACCGCTGCAAATCCTTGCCAATAGGATGCAGCCTTGGGTCACGGAGTTGGGCATGGTGCCAATGAGCTCAGCCTTCAAAGGCACTTTCTCCAATGTCAGTCACGGACATGGGAATGGTCAGGCTTGCCAATGAGCTGCAGCCTTCAAAGACACTTTCTCTAATATCAGTCACGGAGTCGGGAATGGTCACGCTTGCCAATGAGCTGCAGCCTGCAAAGGCACCTTCTCTAATATCAGTCACGGAAATGGGAATGGCCACGATTGCCAGTGAGCTGCAGCCTGCAAAGGCACGTTCCCCAATCATAATCACAGAGTTGGGAATGGTCACGCTTGCCAATGAGCTGCAGCCTTCAAAGGCACGTTCCCTAATCACAGTCACGGAGTTGGGAATGGTCACGCTTGCCAATGAGCTGCAGCCTGCAAAGGCAAGTTCCCTAATCATAGTCACGGAATTGGAGATTGTCACGCTGGCCAATGAGCTGCAGCCTGCAAAGGCACCTTCCCAAATGTCAGTCACAGAGTTGGGAATTGTCAGACTTGCCAATGAGCTGCAGTCTGCAAAGGCACCTTCCCAAATCTCAGTCACGGAGTTGGGAATGGTCACGCTTGCTAATGAGCTGCAGCCATTGAACGCAAGTTCTCCGATTTTGGTCACAGAGTTGGGAATGGTCACGCTTGCCAGCGAGCTGCAGCCAATGAAGGCATGTGCTTCGACCTGCCTTCCAGCAGGAATTTCTACTACGCGAAGGTCTTCCAGCTCGCAGCCGGAGGCTGAAAAGCTTGAGCACGTTACCGGCTTGATGCTGAAGACAGCCAGGACTTCTCTACCGGGAATAACCTCCGACACCATCTCCTTGTTGTTCAACAAGCACCTACCATCAACAATCACCTCCACCGAGCTCATGTTGCGCTTTGATTCATCTTCGCAGGGCAGCCACCCGTGCAGCGCCGCTTTTAACTCACGGACGGTCATGCCGGCCGGCACTGCAAATGCTGTATCTGCGCCAGACAGCTGCCGCACCGTAATCTCTCTTGCCATGGCCGGTATCCGTTTGGCTACCAAGTGGATTCTAGTCAACTAAGGGCCGTGCTGGAGAGGTTCCTGCTTGAGTGGCGCTCAGTGCCGATGCTTGGAATGTGGCAGCTTGGGTAGCTTTTTTGAGCGCTGCGTTGAGCAAATGCACAGGCACAGGCAAAATGCAAAGGCCATGGCTCGTGGAAAACGACGACTTGCCCGTTGGAGCAAAACGGCGTCGCGAAAGAAAGCTCCAGTAAACTGCTTCAGAAACTCGAACATATTCTTAGCTTTCCTTTGCCTGCCACCAGAAGGGAATGCAACATAGCTTTCCAAATGCAAGATGCAACATATTATATTACAAATGTGAGTCGTTCCAAGAGTCGAACGACTCACAACAAAGTCAGTTCAAGCTGTCTGTTTACCACGCAACCGATCTTCTCAACCAAGATCGGAGTCCAAAACCTGGCGAAGGCCCGGGTGGGCGCTTGCGCAAGCCGGACTTTTTCAGCTGACGAATCGGCTCCGCCACTCGGCCGCTGCAGCCTCTCTTGCCACCGCATCTCCTCAAGGAACATCAGTTTGGACTCCCCTTGAACCAACTCCAACAAGAGCCTTCGAAAAGGAAACCCCCATGTTCATGTTGAATTCATTTGCACAGCCTTGGTATGTCTTTGCCTACTTCTCAAACTTAGTGAGCAAACGACTGTTCTCTTGACTTCAAGTATGGAAACCACCCAACATGGCGCGGCAAGATTTCAACGGGGTGATGAAACAAACAAGGACCCCGTAAACTTACCGGGAGAAAAAATGGGGAAACCCGATTTGATGTCACACGTTGGAGGCCCCATGTGAATCTCCAATACCAACGAACAGGCCAACGGGTTGCCATGTTAAAACCATAAAAATGTCAGGGAAGGGGTCTATGAAGAGGTTTCTCTTCTTGCCAGGAGCTGGGAATAAGCTCCTGCGGGCCCCGTTATGGCCCTGACTTGAGCCCCCAAGCCCCACGAGGTCTTTCGCAACTAAAATGCAAAACCTGTACCAGACTTGGCATTTTCCACATGGTTCAGGTATATAAGAACTGCACAGGGCCAACCTGAAAGCAAAAAGTCCCAAACTCGTCCTGTCTCATCGCACAGGTCGCACAGGGCAACGCATTGCTCTCTTACCTGGCCAGCAGTCTTGTTCGACACACCAACCAATCGAAGCGCCTTTCTTAGAGGATCAGTGTCAAACAGCCTGCCTTCTGGGAGTCATGGAAGATCGTAGATCCCTGGTTTCCTGCTTTCGTTTATTTGAAAGGGCACCAAAAATGGAAAACAAACAATCCATCGCCAACGCGTTTGGATTCGCTCCTGGTCCCCCTGAAGCACATGGACAGCTTGGATGGTCCAAGGATTCTGCGGGAAATTGGGGGTGCGCCTCCCATGACCGCCTAATCCAATGTAACATGTCGCTTGGTGTCTCCATGCGTCTCCCATGCCCATCCAAGTGTACAACCAACCATGAAACACACCCTTCCCCCAAACAGGAATGCAAACAACGCCATGCCTTTCCTTGCTTGTGCGACAGGCAGGGAATGAGAAATGCAATGACCCAAATACAAACTCTCCGACGGGTGGTTTCCTTTCGTCGGGAATCCCCAAACGGTTCATTCCCCGATTCCAAACTCGCTGGATGGTGGCGGAAGCCATTTCGCACCCAACCTGTGGGATGATTCATTCTCCTGATACCAAGAAACCATGTGGTTTCAACCACTCGTTTCGGCCATGGTTCCCCGCCCCCCCACCAGCGAACGGCTCCGTTGTTGCGCCTCCTCGGCCTTCAAGGCGGCCGCGGCCAGGCGCAAGGCCCAGAGCTCCGTCGGGAGCACCAGGCGCGTGACTCCTCCGGCTGAAGCCACCGGCGGCTTCGGTGGCTTCGCGGCTCGGCGGCTCGGGGCTCCCGGTGAAGCCGGGGAACCGGTTGGGACCCAACTGCCTGCGGCGGCTCCGGGGTGCTTCTCGGCTTTTCCATTGGCAAGAAACCCAGGCTCTGTTTGTTAGGGCACCCCCCTAACATCCCCCCTAAAAAGCAAAAACATGCTGGCAAAAAACAGGTGTTTCTTTCCTGTTGGCTTCCCTTGAAGCTGCAAACAAAAGGTACCCGCCAAAACAGCGCACACACACAGACTTATTCATGGAACCTCATGGTCCATGGTCCCGAACGTCAGGTTCCATATTACTTGGTGGGAAGGTAAGGCTAGCCTGTTCAAAAGAGGGGTTGAATTCCATTCTGCTGGTTGAGAATTATTGGAAAATCAAGGGGAACCACATCCTTTCATAACCCAAGGTAAGGTTCTAGGATTGTCTCTGAGCCCAATGAAGAAACCCTAGAGGCCGAAAAAGCAATCTCTTTGTGTCCTAGGGATCCCAAATCCAGTCACTTGGGTGGGCAAGCAACTCAAGTAAGTAACCGCGAACAATTGTACGGGGACTAACTTCAATTCTGCCAGAAGTGCAATTGTTTTGAGAACGAAGCCTTGCCATTTATGGGTTGCCCTAGGGTGGTGGCAATAACAGGGGGTGATTCCCTCATCCCTATGCTACTTATATACTGAGAACCAAGGGGAGTTCTCCCCTTGGCAAAAGGAAAGCAACCACCACTGTCGACCCCAGACGAATCAACTCTGGATGAATAAGTGGGCTGTACCAGGGGTAGATCAATCCAGGTCAACACATGGCCAATGGCGTGCCTTTTGGCCAATGGAGAACTTGTCCGGGGCTTTCTGAATCCGCCGTGGCTTCATGAATCCTAGGTCTTTCCCCAAACAAGCTAAAGCACCCCCACGTCCCAGGTGGCATAGCCGTGTCTTTTAGGAGTTGGACCTCCCAACATGGATTTTTCGCGGTTCCTTCGGTCGCTTCCGGAGTGGATGGCCCCAAAAACAGTTCCCAAACTGTTTGTTTACCAACATGGTCCAAGCCCAAAGTGACCAAAGTCCATGAGCTCAGAAGGAGTGAGAGGCAAACCTTCGGCTCCGTGAAACCGAAAAACGGCTACCCCGTCTTCGAGCCCATGCCGCCATCAGCCCTCCGCCCTCCGCTCCTTCGGCGTTCAGCGCGAGCTGCAGGCCGGAGTGGCACACAGCCAGGCCGTCCTCGGGAAAAAAATCGACGGGGCGACGTCGTTTCGGTTGGGTTTGGTTTGGTGTTGAGGATGTTGATTTGTACCTCTGAAGGTTTCGACTTCTTTTTTTTGGATTCGTTGGACTTTTTCTCCTTCTTCTTTTTGGGGTGCCCCTGTTTGTTCTTTAAGGGGTTTTGATGTGTTGAGCTGCCCCTGCTTTTAAGGGGTACCCCTTTCTGTTCCACAGTTCTTTTGTTTCAGGGAAAAAAACACTTTTTCAGGGGCACTGGTGTCCCTTATAATTTGTCTACAGGGGCTAGTGTTTGCTTCTTGTTTGAAGGTACCCCCTTGTTTGGCAGCTGATGTTTCATTTTAAATTCGCGTTGTTGCAAAGTGGAAATCCATGGCCGCCTCAACACTGGGCTGTTCGTTTTCAGATCCCCTGCTAAAGTTGTTTGACTTTTAGTGTGCTTAAATGAAAACCCACCCTAGACCAACCAAACACATAAAATCAAAGGAACCGGATGCCAGGGAACCGCCAAGTACAGGTTTCTTGAGGGGTATTGTAGAGGTATGCAAAAAGATAGTGAAGGGTATTCAAGCAGTATTTGAGAGCACAGGGGTATGAAAACGAAGCATTCAAGGGATAGTCAAGGGGCCAAAGGGTATGCATGAAGAGTACCTGGTTGCTTTCAGGAGACAAAAGACTCGCTACCCCATTGTCACCCCATCAAAAGGGCAGACTCCGTTGTCTGCTCGGGCAAAGGGATGGCTCAAACAAATCAAAACGTTCGGTCGCCTTTTCGATGCGAGAAGGAAACCGAAAGGAAACCAACTATTGGTAGGGGTCCCCCCTATTTTGATGAAAGACACACATGAAATGCTGAAATGATCAATGTTACTTGCTTGCGGTTCAACTGGTCGGTCCCCGGGAACAAATAGGCCCAATTTGTCTGCTGGCTGACGGTTGCAAGGGAACCAGCGCGAAGCCTAGCGTCTAACTGGTGACACATGGCCAATGAAGAAACCAACATTGCGCCAAGATTCGCATATTATACTGATAACGGACCAATATGTTTGGAAATAGATTCAGGCAGTCAAATAGTTCACACACACACAATCCTGAAGCAAGAACCTTCAAAATGAATGAGCTTGTTTTACTGGCCATGCCTGAGCTCGCTGATACCAAAGTAACACTCACGCAAGGACGTGTGAAGCCTGTGCACAGCCAACAAATGTCACCCAAGCTGGGCGGACTTGAGCCCCAATCAGATTGCTCCAACGACGGCAAGGGCAGCATTCAAACCACCGAGGGCAACGATACGCCAAATCGATGCGTTTCCGACTGTGCCCTGGATGAACTTTTAGACCTCATTTTCTACCCCACCCCTTCCACCCCTTCCAGCCCCCCCCCCTCCTCTGCTCCTTCTGCCCCTTCTGCCCCTTCTACCCCCTTCTACCCTTCTATCCACTCGGTTGCTGTTGACCCCTCTGCAAAAGCTTAACTTTTTGCGGGTTTAATGGAAAACCCCTTGATTTCCCAAAAAGTTAAAGTCTAAAGATCCAACTCGATAGCAAGCAAGACCAATGCTATGTTGTACCAAGGCTTTGATCATCGCAAGGCTCGGAGCAACCCTTCACCACCGGCCACTGGAGATCGCGAAAACTCCCACATGCCCCTAGGCCCGCCGCGGAAGCTGTCAACTCCTAGGGACCCAAAGATTGCGTCCAAAGAATATAGGTGCACCGGAGAACATGTTTCCTCCATCTGGTGTGTTCCATATCAGTGAATGGGAGGATGGAGGGTGGGTACATCCCAAGGTGTCAAGAGCCATGCAAAACCACACCTATGACCTATGGTGTCTCAATGTCCTGCACCTATGACCCGGATGGCCTTGTTGGCTCCCTAATCTATTGACAAGATCCACTTTGTGGGTCCCATCTTCGAGTGGATTGGCCAAAAACTTTATATTTGCCGCCAAAACGGTCTGCCCACAAAGCTTTTCAAAGTCCAGGAACTCCGGAAGTGAGTTGATATCTGTAGGCCAGTAGCTTGAACGGACAGTTTGCCTCGTTGGACAAGCTGCCGAATGTCAAGAGCAAACCGAATGGTGCCCTTGTTGCACCCGGCCGCTCCAATTCTCAGATGCCCAGTGGTTGCTTGACTTTAAAGGGGAACCCTTCCCCCAAAAAGGGAAAAAAGGCCACCACTGGGCAACTGAGATTTTAGGGATCAGTTCAGGGATCATACCATCAACAACACAGCCCTGACAGTGGGTTACACTGTTGCTGCCCCTGGAAGGGTCGCATCGTGGGACCAAGCACGTGGGTGTGTCTTTTTTGAGGGTATCCCGTTTTGGCTGTCTTAAAAGGAAACCCAAAGCAACACCGAAATCCGTTTTGGGAGTCCAATTCCTAAAACAAGACGAGCCCAATGTGATTTTCTCAACCAAATGGACAACCCCATACTCCTGCCAAAACCAATCTTCTAGGGGCCCTCTGGTGTCACCATTAAAAAAAGCCCAGCTTCCATGGGACAAACACCGACGTCGCGGAACCTCCAAGGAAAACAATCCACTGGTAAATTGCAACTTGTGAAATCCTGTGACTCCTGGAAAAACATGGCTTTCATCCAAAAAATGCCAGGCTTCCTTTGCCTTACCCTACGATCCACCACGCGAGGCCCTTACAATCTGCCATTATCCCGTGTCGAAAACAAATCACGAGACCAAAACACCATGCTCTTGCACGCATCCATTTCCGCAACCTACCAACTTGTGGCTCTACCAAAGTGTTACACCAATGTATACTCTGGGTTATGTTGGCGCTGCTTTTTATACAGCTACACACACTTTCGATCAACTCCTATGTGCCCGGGGTGAAAGTGACCCCCCGCGTTTGCGCTCATCGTTTTGCTTTGTGTTAAAATGTGGTCGAACTAAAGGCCAGGGCTCAGCGGGGAATCCCACCGCAAACTACCCTGCCGAAGGCCGCTTCGTTTCATCTCCGAGGGATGCATTTTGGACACGTCAGGCTTGAAACGGGGGAAAACAAGACAACAGTTGTTGGAGAGTGCTGGGTGGTTGTTGTGCAGGGTTCCCTACAGTTACCCTTCAAGCATCATCCCTCCCCAGGATACTCACCCTCAAGTAGCCCAAGAGGTCATGTGTGAAGCGACAAGGGGAAGTACGACTGTCTTCTTTTGAGGGTAGTTGTTTTACAACCAAAAGAAAGACCACCCTTTGGAGGGTTCACCCAAAAACACGCACAAAACACACACACACACACACACCCACACCCACACCCACACCCACACCCACACACACACAAACACAAACACAAACACAAACACAAACACGAACAAACACAAACACAAACACACAAAACACACACCACAAAAACAACACGCGGACCCCCCCCCCCCGCTGCGGGGGGTTTGTGCACCGCGCATCGCTCTCCTTGAGCCGCTCTTTCAGGCCCGCCCGCTGCTCCGCGGCAGCTGCCTCACGGACTCCGAGCGAGCCGGGGGTCCTCGGGTTGGGGCGGTCCTAAGGCGAGTGGAACGAGTTCTCCAAGTGGCTGTGGTTGTCAAAAATCGGTGCCCAAAATGGAAGCTTGGTGAATGGAAACAACTAAAACCTGCGGTTTCTGGTGGTTAATTTTGACCCATATTGAAGTGGCCTCCCTAAGTGGAGGGTTTTTGGGGGGCCTCAAAAGAGGAGTCTTCCAAAAAGCGTCCTGGCTGGCTTCCATGATTGGAGGGAGGGCTAATCGATAGGAAACATTCAGTTTAGAAGGGGGGGGATTAGCAGTCTCGGCATCATCGGTACCCAAGGCTCCTGGAACCTTGGGGTTTCCTACGGCTCCCTACTCACGGCCCCCCCTTTGGGTTCCAGACTCTAAAGGAGGAACCTGAACCCAAAGATGGACCCGAGCCTGTTTGGCTTCTCATTTGAGGTTTGAACCCCAATCTTTTGCCCCAAAGTGACCCGAGCCTTCTCTCTCTTCTTGTCCACCTTGCGGCAGTAGATGTGGCTGTCATCGGCCTAGGTTCAACTCCTCTCACGGGCCTTCAGGCTTGGCCAACTGCAAACTCTATTTCGATTGCACTCGTTGGAAGTTGTTTAAACAACTTGCATCAAAACAACACGGAATCAAGGAATCAATCTTCCACCCCAAAACACAAAAGGCGAGGCTCCAGATTGACGCGAAACCAACTTGAGAGGCGGGTGAACGAAAGCTAGCCAGCCACACCATGACATGTATGACCCAGTGCTTGCCAAAATGCAAAAAACAAATCACAATCGATATGCCCGGAAAGGCGTGGTGTGGGGCGTGGGGCCAAGGGGAAATTCTGACCGGGGGAGGGGGCGGTTGTAGAAATGCGCTTTGCTGGGACAAATCTTGTTATTTGTGGGAAAACAGCCTTTCCTTCTCAAAAATGGAATAAAACCCCTCGTTTTAACGCCCAACTAATCAATATATGAATCAACATTGCAAGCCCCCAATCCCAGCCCAACTTGTTGCGTCTTGCGGCCACCGGCCCATGGTGACCATGGTGGCTGTGAAGCAAGCAAAGCTCCAACCAAACCAGGATCTTGGGCCCCGGCTGCTGCATGATAAACTTCCGAGATCTCGCCTTCGTCCTCCTTCTCCCCTTGGAAAGCCCCCGCAACGGCGAAACGCGGCAACGCGTCTGTCAGCTTTGCACAGAAGGTCTTCGTCTTCATACTGAGCGGTGCTTCAAACCCAAGGTGCTGCTTTGCACTTTTTTTGAACTTGGCCAAAACAGACTTGGGGCAGTGCAGTGGAGCTGTTGGTCAAAACAAATGACGCTTCATTCCTTAGTTCCCCTATTTAAGCCTCGTCCAACACTTCCGCTTAATTATTTGAGTATGACAGGAGTCTGACGCAAACTTTTGTAAGCAATCAAAAGGCCACCGGAGTCACCATCCAAACTTGGTATTAAAATGGTCTACCCAAATCCACGCAAGGAAATTAACAGGCGGCCGAAAATATCTGGCTGGGACTGCCCCTTACTCACCTTCACCTAGCCAGGTTTTGATTGTCACCTGCAACTATGATTGAAACCAATACATCCACTCGGCCCTTCTGGGCGATTTGCTCGGCAGGAGTAAGGCGAGGGCCCTTCTTTGGTTTCTTCTCCTTCTCTTTGCCCTCCTTGCGGCCAATGGAACGGCCCCAATCGCGGAATGGTCGCTTCGCCGCTACATAGGTTCCTCGACCGAGGGAACCCCCAAACGGTGGGTCGCCTTTCTGACTTACCTTTCTGACCCGAGGAATCATGGGTCGGTTCAGGAAGTCGACGAGTTAAACATGGCCCAGGAAAGGGTACCCAATACATCAATTTCAAGCATTACACATGCAAAGGATGACAAAAAACCAACTTTCTTTTTGGTGGCCCTTGAAAAGGAGACCCTCCTCCAGGTGGCTAAACCAATTTTGCCTACGTACATCTAGACCCATGTTTTGCGTTGCCCTGAACCGAACTCCACAAAGCGCCAGGAAGTCAGTAGAAAAGTCTGAGTTGCTTCCATGTTTGACAAACAATCATAAACTGGGCTGTCCGTTTTCTGATCCCCTGCCAGTCTAACCTTTAGTGGGTTGAACGGAAACTTTCATTCAACCCTAAAACCCCAAAAAAGTAAGGGGTTCGCCGGGAACCAAGTAAAGCATTGCTCATTCTTGACTAGTCTGGGTTGTTAATAGGGGAAAATTCGAATCCGTAGTGACAGGGTAAACCACTATCATCTGGCATAAGGAATAAGGATTGATTGTCAACGAGCTAACATGTGCAGGCTCTTCCATGTCATCCCTCCGAAACGGGCCCACAATGAAGGGTGATGCTTCAAACCAAGGAAAATGACACAACCTCAAGGTCGCCTTTCAAACCGTGGCCCTGCCCGCTACTCCCCCTTGAATCTGAGGCCTTCATCCCCGTATTGGAGGTCCAAATGAGGGCCCAATCGGCCTTCGAGAAAGGGACTGGCGGAAACAAACACAGCAAACACCCCCTTCCAAACGGTGAACATCATCGAACCCAAACGAACTGAAAGACCACTTTCCGCCCAGCAAACGCCCTCTTTCAATTGGCAGCAATATACAATGGTGAGGCACCTTTGTTGCTCGAATTCTACTTGTCAGCACCGGCACGCAGCAAGCGCTGCACAGCTCCCCAATGACCCTGCTCTGCAGCAAGGTGCAATGGTATCAAACCCTCTTTGGTCGTCTTCTCTTTGTCACCACCGGCCAATCATCCACCAAGCACTGCACAACTGCCTGATGGCCCTGCTCTGCCGCAAGGTGCAATGCTGTCCAGCCCTCGTTGTCCACCCTCGCTTTGTCAGCACCGTCATCCAGCAAGCATTGAACAACTGCCTGATGGCCCTGCTCTGCGGCAAGGTGCAATGGTGTCAAGCCCTCGTTTGTCGCCTTCTCTTTGTCAGCACCGGCATCCAGCAAGCAACGCACAACTGCCTGATGGTCGTTCATTGCAGCAACATGCAATGGTGTCAAGCCCTCGTTTGTCCTGTTATCTGTTTCAGCACTCGCATACAACAAGCACATTACAACATCCAAATGGCCATTTGCAGCAGCGAGATGCAATGGTGTCAAGCCCTCATTGGCCACCTTCTCTTTGTCAGCACCGGCACGCAGCAAGCGCTTCGCAACTGCCTGATGACCCTGCTCTGCGGCAAGGTGCAATGGTGTCAAGCCCTCGTTGGTCACCTTCTCTTTGCCAGCACCGGCACGCAGCAAGCGCTTCGCGACTGCCTGATGACCCTGCTCTGCGGCAAGGTGCAATGATGTAAAGCCCTCGTTGGTCACCTTCTCTTTGTCAGCACCGTCATCCAGCAAGCATTGAACAACTGCCTGATGGCCCTGCTGTGCAGCAAAATGCAATGGTGTCAAGCCCTCGTTTGTCGCCTTGTCTTTGTTGCCACCGGCACACAGCAAGCAACGCACAACTGCCTGATGGTCGTTCATGGCAGCAACATGCAATGGTGTCAAGCCCTCGTTGGTCTTGCTCTCTGTTTCGGCACCAGCATCCAACAAGCACATTACAACGTCCAAATGGCCATATGCAGCGGCAAGGTGCAATGCTGTCAGATGGATGTTTCTGCCAACAGCATTCGGATCATGAGGCGTATTTAACAGCTCGAGCACGTGTTGCGCGTTACCTCGTTCCGTTGCTTGCAGCAAGTCAACCCAATTTCCCAGACCTTCTGCTTCACCCGTGGCTGCTTCAACGTATTGCCGAACAACGACGGTCAGGCACTCAGCATTGTCCCACTGGCTCTCTGGCCCCAACATGCCTATGCCACAGACCAGTGCGAGCCGCCTGAAGTTCGGTAAGTGCAATCCTTTTCTGGCCACTGGGCATGGGGAAAAACAACAACACCCTATTTTACACTTTGAGCGTTGCCTAATGTTCAATGAAGAGTCAACGGCAAAGAAACACTGGGTACCAATGCGCAACCAAGAATCTCTTGGCCAGGTGGCGTCGCAACGCATCGAAAAAACAGTCCCCATCTTCGTGTCCACGCAGCGTGTCCCTCCATGCGGAATACTCCGCTGTTGTCATCACATCCGTGCCATCCAGCACGCGAACGCACGCCATGATTGAATTGGGCACCCTTGAACTCGAGCTTAACCATGCCAGTGGAAAGGCCCCAGGAATCGTTGAAAAGTCGGCTCAACCATAAATGAGTACCTTACAAAATGAGGGAAGATCCAAGTGGGTGTCCTTCTGACTGAACGGGGCACCCTCAACAAACGACGCGCCCAAACGGTTCAGGAAGTCGACGACCTGAACATGGCCGAGGAAAGGGCCCCATACGCATGCGCGTTACACAGTTGGTGCAAGGGGCAGCGGTAACGGCACTCAATACATAAATTTCGTGCAAGAAACATACAAAGGACAACAAACACACACACACACACACAAAACATGTTCACACACAATGACATGCATCAAGCAGAAGGACAGGATTGCAACAGTCAGCAACGCATGGCTGCTGCGGCTGAAAAAAAAGGAAGGCCAATCCACTGAATTCCATGCACAGCCAAACATGGGAAACTGGAAATTATATAAACAATTGCATTGCATTGAGCTACCATAAACAAAACCTCTTGATGCTTCTGCGGATGCAATCACCCAAGGCTCCTTCCCATCTTTCGCGTCCTTGCCTTCCTTTGTCTCCTGCGCATATTCTGAGTAGCTGTCGTGAGCCAACAGACATTTATATCCCTTGAGTAGGGTGAGACCGGGGGCCATTCTCCCTTAAAAGAACTAGCACCTCATCGAACATTGCCCCAAGCAGCGGATGTGCCTCTCTCAAAGGACAACAAAGCACTGCAAGTGTAGTATGTATCACCTCCAGAAACCTCGTACAGAAACCGACGGCCACTCGTTTGTGGGAATCCTGTAAAATTCCATGTCTCTGTGAAAGCAAGATGCTTTGCAGCCCTCATCTTCTTGAACTCAAGGGCACTCCCCTTCACGCGGAACCTAGGGGTACGAACTTATCCCAAGAACGAGTCACGCTAAAAAGAAGAAGGAGTTGGAGTTCCACATCAGGAGTTCCACCAATATCCTTGGTGTCTTTCTTGGCCAAAGCCGCTGCGAGCCTGCACCGCCGGACGTGGAGTGGAGGATGGAGATGGGTGCAACGTGTGCTGCGTCAAATCGGTGGGTTTAACTCTACCCACACCATTACTTAGCCCATCTGGCCTACACAAATGTTCAGATTATGCTTCATGTTTATAGTCTACCAGATTGGACCAAAGCTTCGGTGCTGCGAGGCTGGCACGCAGGCTTGTTTGCACATGCTAGGGTTGGATCTTTGCCTGCACGGATTAGGTGAACCGCAAAACATGCGTCTGCCAGCCGTGCAAAAACAAGTAAAAACAACGCCCCTGGGTGGACTCGCACCATGCTCACACTTTCAGCCAGCAGGCGTGACATGTAACGCCTTCGTCCCTGATGTGCAGCGTTGCAGCAGAAGCCTAGACTTGCCTTTTCGGGCCACCCACTCCCTTAAGCAATTGCCACGAGGGCCACCAACCTCAGAACTAAGCATCTTGGTCCTTTTTGCTCTTGACACGACTCCTATGGAACGTACTTGTGAGCATGCCTGTCCAGCATCTTGCACGGCACCTCTCTTGGGGGTACAAGCAAAACACATGTTTCGACAGTTTGGTCCGAGGGAGGGATGGCCGCGATATATGCATTGACATATACCTTTTCGCACATTATATATACTTCGTCGAAGTTGTCGTTGCTTTCCTTCTTTGCCAGTTTCCAAGACAAAACCCGAATCACATCAACTCTGCTTCACTAATTTGTCGAGCATGCATGAAGCGACGAGCTCCTTCTCTTCATCATTTGTCTGATAAATGTAGTTGTGTTTGTCCATGCGTGGTCAATAGGCGAGCCTTGCTTCCATTGACCGACCCTAAGCGATACTAGTCTTTTGTAGTGTCCTCCACATGTGTGCCCTGTCAACATACCCCCCACCCGAAAGGAATCTCACTTTGACTGGGCATGGCAGGTCCAGGTGATGTTTCATTTGGAATCCACTTTGTTGCAAAATGGATATCCACGGAAGCCTCGATGCCGGGGTCATTCTATTTCCAACCCAACCATTGCATCATTTAGATGGCCAAGAAGCTGCAACGTATCCTTCCAACGGGGCAAAACGATCTCCCTCCAATCATAGTGGCGCTTTCCCTGTTCGAAGCTGACCGGAGGGTTTTGAAGACTTCTCATTCCCTTTTTGGGGAAGCCCTGCGTCCACTGGCATGACTGGCATGAGTGTTGGAAAGATGGCAAGCAAATGGGTGTGTCTTTTTCTTAGGGCACCCCCCAAAATGGTAGTTTCTCTTTTGCTTTTCCTCCAAGCCAACCCCCCAAAAAGGCGGGCACCCTCAAAAAAAGGGCGGCCCAAATCTAATGCTTGCAAGCTTTTCCTCACCAAGCCTGAAAAAGGGTTGCACACAGACCCAAATAGACTGACCCCGATAAAAACAACCCGGGCGATGTGTGCGGGGCTCCTTATTCGTCCTGGCCTCAGCAGCGAGTCCGGCGGCTTGCCCTCTGCGGCCGCCAGCTTGTCCAAGCACTGCCTCAGCAGACTTTGACCCAACTGGGCTATCCGTTTGATGCCCCGCTGAAAGTCAGTCTAACTTGTAGTTCTAGGTGCCTTTCCAGGGATCCTTCTTTCTAGCAAATTCCATCAAACGCCCAGGATAAACAGCCGGTTTTGGGAAAGAAGGATTGTTGAAAATAATGGGGAATCAACCTTGCAAACACTAACACTAAGCAACGCGAAAAAGGGGGCCTAGGAAGGTGAACTCGAGTTGCCCTGGGCAGGCTTGACAGACATCAAGTGTGAACCAACCTTCTGGAGGAGTCCCAAATCGTGACACATGCCTGAATGGTTCCTGTTCTCTTTGTTCCGTGGATCAGTGTCAAAAGGTATCTGTCAAAGATAGGGAACCCCGCACAAGTAGAGTTGTTTCATTTGGCAGGGTACCCGCAGGAGAATACACCCTCATAAGGCTGGCGCCCCTGCTCACGCAATGCCTCCCATGCCAAACCGCCGTCGCTACTCCCTGATATCACCTGGGGACTTTTTCCCGCTTTTCCCGACAAAGCCGGGAAAAGGATGACAAACAATTGCAAAACTGGGCAAGTGTGTTCGACTCAACAGTCGCCAAAGGGGAGAGGTTTATTCTTTTGTTGAACGAAACCCGGCTTCCCCAAGGACAACGTTCAATTCCCAAACCCGTCTGCCGGCTTCCATGATTGTTGGAGGGAAGGTACCAACAAAACAAAGATTTACAGTAGAAGACCCGTTGAACGAGTCCCGATCGCTTGCACCAAAGAAGAATCATGTGCGGCACGCCACAACACATTTGGTAGAACCAATTTAGGGTCAGCCACGGTACGGCAGCGGCAAAGGATCTTGGATCTGGATACTTGCGACGGATATGGCAGGATGTTGCGAAGTACGTTATCGGAATACGGTTGTTCAGTGGTGTCCAACCCATTTTTTACCTTCTTGGTGGCTGCCCGACTAAAAACTGGCAACTCCAAACAGAATTGATTAGCTTTTAGTACCAGGCAAGGGTACTTGGAAATCCCAAACGACCCATCAAGGGAATTCACCAACCATCACTTTGGGTTGCAATCACCAATTGTTAAGTCGGAATTTTGAGGGTGGTACCATCTCCCCTAATGTTAACCCCGGAATAAGCAGAACCCCTGGTTGATTAATAGGGAGGTGTCCCCTTTTAGTGGGGATTCAGACCACTCTTGGAGGGAACACCCCCCAAATAGTGGGACCGGTTTATTAATCCTGGGTCAACATTACCAGGGGAGGGTGGGGGGTCCTAGTTTTCCCCAAGAAAAAATGGGGCCAATGGAATTCAGGGGTCACCGGCCAGGCCGCTTGCGATTGCCGGCGGTGACCTCCGGGGCCGTGCCGGTGGCCTAGAAAAAGCGAATCGGCGCAGGGGAGGGGAAGTCACCGGGAGCCCCCCCCCGGCTTCGGGATTCTCAGTTGTTCAGTGACCCTGGAAAAAAAAATCGGGAACCCTTTTTGGGGCTTGGGCCATTTTTGGGGCAGCCACCCAACAAAAAAGTTGGAAAAATAATTGGTGCCATTGAACAACTGAGGATTGTTGCATTTGTTCTTGAGCCCGTTGGGCCTTTATACCCGGGAAAAACGGATACGCCGCCTTTGCCGAGAGAGTATCACTCCTGGAGCTTCAGGGCAAGGTCTTAAAGGTCAAGGAGAAACACCTACACACCCAAATAAGTGTACCAAAACGAAGAGTACCCAAGGGAGGAGAAAGGCGGGGCCAATGGGGCATCTGACACCACAATTTTTTTGGAGCCGATCCGGATCACTTTTGGGCAGAACCGCCGTCTTAATACGTCTGGTTTGTTGATGTCTTCAAGGCCCAGTCTTGGTCGGCCGCCAAACCATCTCTACTCTTGGTATGGTGGCAAAACACATTGTTGCTTTTCAGAAACCAATGCTGTGAGTGGTGGGTTTTTTGGGGGAGTCCTGCTCACAGAGATACAGGAAAAAACAACTTGAAGAAACAAAAAAACGAAGTCCTCAGGGAAATGTTCAGGAGTCCTTGGACCAACCCTCAGCCAGTACATAGTCTCTACATAGTCTTCAAGGCCTAGTCTTGTTTTTTTTGAGCCAAGTAAACATGAAAACAACCAACAACACATGGCAAGAACGGCGAAGAAACGTAGCATCTAATGGAAATGCAACCCCAAATGGAGGAGCCCTAGAACTGGGTATCCGACTCTAGGCTTCACGCTCACCGCAAAACCAAACCCCCAAAGGAGTTGACACCATCATCTGGCTAAAAGGAAACAAACAATAACACAATCAACACAAACAAACACGCAAGCAAGCAAGCAAGCAAGCAACCAAGCAAGCAAGCAAACAAACCAAGCACCGCGACACATCTGAAGCTCCCAGTTATGCACTCCACATACTCCACACACACACACACACCCTTCAACACGTCGCCGCTTGCATTTCCGGGGCCCGACCGCCGGCCTCCTCCAGGCGCACGGCGATCAAGGCGTGCAGTGGCTCCACCACCACCTCCCTCAGCAGGTGCCTCGGCCACTCGCCAGCGCGAGTGGAAGCCTGGAGCCTCGTTTGCTTCAGGGGCTGAAACCTCCAAAAACCGCAAAAAGGAAAATATCATGCGAGCCATGGTCACCTTATATTGTGTGCAGTCACATTGGATTTTGGATGATTTTGGCGAGTAACCCCAGCCTCCTACTCCTAGATCAGCTGAGCGGGGTTTTGGGTGGGGCATTGATTGCTTTGCTTGGTTACTGGCTGATGCCTTGTGTTGGTTGTGGTTGTTTGGCCGCAGTGCTTCCCACCTGTGCGTGCGTGTTTGATAGCCAATCAGTCCCAGCAAGTCAGTGAGTGACCAACTCAGTGAGTCAGTCGGTTGCTCTTGGCAGCTCGCTTCCCCTATCTTCGAATAGTCAAATGAAGCCAGAAATGTGTCAACAAGGCTTGGGCAAGCCAGCCCCCTCTCTAACCTATGTTCAAACACCCTTTTGTGTTTCAACACACAGATTTTCTTCCGCAAGGTGCCATGGGAGAAGCTCGGACCGAGCTCGTTTCCACATAGCTTGAAACGTGGCCCTGTAAAGGCCAGGAAGGTGCCGAACAAATCACGAGGCAAGTTACAAAAGGGTGCGGATTTATTTTGGGATTTGTTTTTTTCTTTTTTTGTTTTTTTTTTTTTTTTCGTCCGGGCCAGTAAAATGTTGCATTTCAGCATGTTCTCGCGAAATTGACGCATTTTACACTAGCCCGTCAACATCCCCAGCATCGTTTTCAACATCCCCCGCATGTCCGACCAACATCCCTAGCATCACCAACAAATCGTGCGTAACAAAATCTAAAAAGTAGCTGGCGGGTTGACGGGGTCAAAAATTAATGCTTCAAACAGGAGGGCATTTCAATCTCTGCAAAAAGTCTAAAAAGTAGCGGGGGGGTTCGGGCCCCCCATGATGTTCGAAGAATTGATGATTCAACTAGGGGTGCAATTAATTGAATCTCTGTAGAAAATCTAAAACGTAGCGGGGGGGGATTGGGGGGGGGGGGCGGCAGCCCCCCCATGATGTCGGAAGAAGTGATGATTCGAGTAGGAGTGCAATGATTCAAGAAAGGGCGTGATAGAATTTAAAAGGCAGCGGGAGGGTTGGCGCGAAATTGACGCATTTTACACTAGCCCGTCAACATCCCCAGCATCGTTTTCAACATCCCCAGCATGTCCGACCAACATCCCTGGCATCACCAACAAATCGTGTGACGGGGTCAAAGAAATGATGATTCAAGTAGGAGGGCGTAAAAAAAAGACTAAAAAGTAGCGGGGGGGTTGGGGGGGGGGCGGCAGCCCCCCCCATGATGTTGTTTGCAGAAGTGATGATTCGAATAGGGGTGCAATTAAATCTCTGCGAAAGTCTAAAAAGTAGCGGGGGGGTTGGGGGGGGGGCCCCCCCCCCATGATGTTCGAAGAATTGATGATTCAACTAGGGGTGCAATTAATTGAATCTCTGTAGAAAATCTAAAACGTAGCGGGGGGGGATTGGGGGGGGGGCGGCAGCCCCCCCATGATGTCGGAAGAAGTGATGATTCGAGTAGGAGTGCAATGATTCAAGAAAGGGCGTGATAGAATTTAAAAGGCAGCGGGAGGGTTGGCGCGAAATTGACGCATTTTACACTAGCCCGTCAACATCCCCAGCATCGTTTTCAACATCCCCCGCATGTCCGACCAACATCCCTGGCATCACCAACAAATCGTGTGACGGGGTCAAAGAAATGATGATTCAAGTAGGAGGGCATTTCAATCCCTGTAAAAAAAAAAACTAAAAAGTAGCGGGGGGGTTGGGGGGGGGCGGCAGCCCCCCCCATGATGTTGTTTGCAGAAGTGATGATTCGAATAGGGGTGCAATTAAATCTCTGCGAAAAGTCTAAAAAGTAGCGGGGGGGTTGGGGGGGGCGGCAGCCCCCCCCCATGATGTTCGAAGAATTGATGATTCAACTAGGGGTGCAATTAATTATATCTCTGTAGAAAATCTAAAACGTAGCGGGGGGTTGGGGAGGGCGGCAGCCCCCCCCATGATGTCGGAAGAAGTGATGATTCGAGTAGGAGTGCAATGATTCAAGAAAGGGCGTGATAGAATTTAAAAGGCAGCGGAGGGTTGGCGGGGGTGGCTTTCCCTATGATGTTCGAAGAAATGCATACATACAGACATACATGGATTACACAGATAACCTAAATGTTGTATTTTGCAGCATTTTCTCGCGAAATTGGACGCTCGAAAAAGCAGGGGTGCAATTCAATATCTGCAAGAAATCTAAAAAGTAACAGGGGGGAGGCGGCAACCCCATGATGTTTGAAGAAGAGTTGATTCAAATAGGGGTGCAATTACTCTGCAAACAATCTAAACAGTAGCGGGTGGGTTGGGGGGGGTTCCCCCCTTATGATGTCCGAAGAAGTGATGATTCAGATGCGGGAAGCCAAATCCAAAAACCAATAGCCAAAAAGCCCGAAGGATGCGAAAAGCCAAAGCCGCCAAAAGCCGCCAAAAGCCGCATAAACCAGCAAAAGCCGAAAAGCCCAGAAGCCCAGAAGCAGAGAAGCCAAGAAGCCGAAAAGCCAAGAAGCCGAAAAGCCAAGAAGCCGAAAAGCCAAGAAGCCAAGAAGCCGAGAAGCCAAGAAGCCGAGAAGCCAAGAAGCCGAAAAGCCAAGAAGCCAACAAAGCAAGAAGCCAAAAAGCCAAGAAGGCAAGAAGCCAAAAGCGAAAAATATATATATATATATACATATATATAAATATATATACATATATATAAAACTAAAATAAATACCCCTCCGTTACAAAGGGTGGGGACAACTCCTTGTTGAAAATATGGTTTAAACACCCCTGGTTTACACAACCTTCCTTTTGGTGCCCCTAAGAAGACCTGCATCCAGGCGGTTAAACCAAGCTTGCCTTGGATTGACACCTCTCCCTGCCAAGGCACTGGTACAGCGGCGAGTCCTGGTGAGATGTGCGAGGCTGAGTGAGTTGCCAGGCTCAAAGGTTGTACATGGTTCCCGCAAATGGAACCCTTAGATTGGCTGTCGAAAATCCACCACCATCATTCCTGGCAATGTTGGGTACGCTGGTGTGAACCGAGGACCGGTGCCTTCTGGCTCACTATGATGCGTATGTATGCACGAATGTATATACGCACATATGTATGTATGTATGTACTTTAGATAGATATGCAGGTAATTGAAGGTGTGTTGATATTGGGCTGTGGTGTTTTTGCACATTTCTGCGTTTTCGCTCCTGCAACGTGGTGTTGGTGGGGGAGGAGAAACTGCATGCCTGCATGCATGCATGTGTCTGAATTAACATGTGTATATATATATATATATGTATTATATATATATATATATGTTCCAGGCCGTGGACCCCCCTCCAACCCCCCCCTGTGGGGTGGGGTGGGTGGGGTGGTGGGGTGGGTGGGTGGTGGGGTGGGGTGGGGTGGTGGTGGGGTGGTGGTGGGGTGGTGGGGTGGTGGTTGGGTGGTTGGGTGGTTGGGCCAACCCCCCCCCCCCTGTGGGGGGTGGGGTGGGTGGTGGGGTGGTGGGGTGGTGGGGTGGTGGGGTGGTGGGGTGGGGTGGTGGGGTTGGGTGGTTGGGGGTGTGGTTCGGAGTTGGTTTAGGCTTGGTGGGTTGGTTTAGGGTTGGTTCAGGGTTGGTTCAGGGTTGGTTTGCGGTGGGTTTCGGGTTGGGTTGATTTAGGCTTAGGGTTGGGGTTAAGGAGGGGTTGCAGGGTGGTTTGGTTTAGGGTAGGATGTTGCGAGAGGTGCGGGGGTGTTGGTTCACGGGGTGAAAGGGGGTCCGGGACCGAAGCTGCAGGGCTCGCACGGCACTGGACAGCATCCCCAGCATTGCCAGCATCATCCCCAAGATGCGGATGATGCGGGGGAGTGGGGGGACCATACCATTGGGGGGGGGGGGTACGTGGCCCAGGGACTGGTACATTTATGTATGATCCATCCGTCCGTCCGTCCGTCCATCCATCCATCCATCCAGCCATCCAACTGTCTATCCAACCATGCATACATGCATCTATACGTATCCATTTATCGAAACAATGCTTCATATCCATTTATCGAATCAATGTATCCATCCATCCATCCATCCATCCATCTATGCAGCCATCTATCCATTTATGTGTTTATCCATCCAACCGATCTATCTCTCTGTCCATCCAGGCACCCAGCCATCGAATCTACCAGCCTCCCCGCTCGATTCCCACGCGCGCGTCCTGGAGCTTCGCGAGGCCCAGGGCCCGGCTGCCCAGCACCAGCTCCTCGTAGCGCTCCTGCACCAACTTGTCCGCCTGGCACTGCTCAGTGACCCCGGGGGGAAAAAAATCGGGAACCCTCTTTGGGGCTGGGACCCTTTTTAGCGCAGCCAACCGAAAAAAAAAAATGGAAAAAGAATTGGTGCCACTGGACAACTCAGGGCATGGACCTCGTCGTGGGACCGACCTTGCCAGGTGCGGAAATTGGAGCCCGGTGGCTTTGAAGGACTGGAGATCAGACCTTCAGGTGGATTGACTTGAGGCTGAGTTGAGTCATCCATGCAAACCACAATGTCACAATCCTCTGGGTGTCAACAAATTCCGGGGAAAAATATATATAAACAACACGTACCCAGCCCCTTGTCGGTTTCTCCTTGGGAACACACGCCAGCACCCGCCCGTTTCGCCTGTTCAAAGAGCTGCTTCTGCTTGGTCTGCAAGGTGGATCGAAGCCTAAGGCTTCGGACTCCGAAGCAAAAACGGCCGCTGCTCAGTCGATGATTCGGTGACCCCTCCGCTAAAAAAAAGAAGAAAACGACGGGTTGGATTTCAGGGCTGTGAGAGAAATGGAATCCACTTCTGTGACACAACCAAAAGTGCTTCCCAAAGACTGACCCCCATATAAGGGGGGAGATTCCCGGCATAACCTCCTTGATCCCCCAACCCTGGGTTGGATGAAACAGCTTCCAAAGCGGCCTAGCCAATCGAACCAACTGTACCAGCAGGAAATCTTGTCCGTGGCTCTACCCTCCCACACACTACAGTAAGTGGCTCAAAAAGCCGGTACCAAAATGGAACCCTGGTGAGTGGAAACATGGACCAACACCTGCGTGCCCCCTCCTGGATTATTTTGAGCCACACTCATATCCACAACAAAGGGGAGGGTTCTCCAAGCTCGGTCCCTCGTTCTTCCGGCCAGGCGGCTTCTCCGCAGTGTCGGACACCTGGACGGCCAGCAAGCTCTGCACCTGGCCCAAGCCGGGAATCAACCGAGAAAGACAGGGTTTCATGTTTGTGTCCTTTTTATCCAACCCAAACACGTGTTTCTTTGAATTGTGTATCCAACCAAAACCATGAGTTTCATGCTGATTTCCCTTCTTATCCAACCTAAACATGTGTTTTTGTCCACCATTTCGAGGGCACATTTGGGTGTGTCTACAAAATGGTGGACAAGCCCCCTGTTGTTGTTGGATGAAGGAAAACCAAAAGAAATTTGAAGCGCTTGCCATCAGGAAATGAACCGATTCCTATTTTGAGGAACAGCCGCAAGAGCAAAACATCTTGGAATCTTGGTGGCTTCGCAAAAGCGTGGGGGATGGTTGGGATCCACCTCAGGAATCTGACTTGAAATGGGGTCACTGGAAGTTTGCTTGCTTGAAAGGTTGATCAGTTTGCTGGTGGCATCCTTTCCTCGGTGTGGCAAGACGTGCCTTTTCAATGGACCCGATTTCATGGGTCACTCACCACAGCCTTTCACAACCTTGGGAGGTTCGAACAGGAGAATTGAGGGGGACGCCCCCGTTTGCTGCCGTTCAATTTGTTATACAACAATTCTCCCCTGCTTGCGCAAAACAAACTACACCCAAACAAAATTGTATCTACGCTGGTTGATTTGGACGGGACATCTCCATCCCTCCCCTCTCCCAACAAAAGGCCCAACAAAAGGCACGGTTGCCCCATGTTTACCTCTTAAAGATTACCTAGATAGCCAAATTACCGCCTTTTTCAGCACTGTTGCAATCGGTTCTTGGGGTAAAGTGCACGGGGGGGAAAAAAAAAACGACCGCAACCGGATCGCTCCAGGTACCCCCAAGAAGAAAACCATCCAGGGAGCCCGTCTCAGCTCGTTGCGAGAGGCGGCGGCGCCTTGGCGCAAAGGTCGTCCTGAACCTCCAGCGGCAGATCTGGGTGCTGGTCCTGAGCGAAGGGGTTTTCAGCTGCCCCGCAGCTGAGTGAGTCTAACTTTTAGTGGGTAACATACGGACATCCGACCACGAAACACCAAAAAACTCAAAGCCAAGGGGATATCTGGGAACCAAGAAGATAAGCTACGTGTCCTAAACCAACTGAAAAGATCTAAAATGCAAAGGAAACGGATGGCTGGGAACCACCAATGTGCCCAATAAGCTTCATATCCTTTGATATGCGGAGCTTCGACTCACAGTGGAGCCGTCGGACTGGTACACCGGCTTGGTTTAGGGTGGGTTTAGGTTTGTGTGGTTCCAGGGTCGTGTTCAGGGTCATGTCTCGAACCTTCGGCAAGTCCTTTCTACCCAGATCCGCAAACCCTCGACACCTTTCGCCATTGGCAGATCACGGGGCTCATATTCATATCAGGGCCATCAAAGCCTAAATTCATATTCCTCTGGTCTCAAAGTACCCCACAACCACATTCAGTATAGTCCCCTCGCAAGCAGGAGAACAGCTGCAGGGGAATCAGGGCCTTGAATAAGAAAACAAGGACAAGCAACAGGAATCAGATCTGAGAGGTCATCTGTTGATACGGTTTTGTCTGTGTTGGTTGGATTCTCTTTGGGGGTCCTAAGGAATCAACTGGTATGACTTCAATATGGGCATGCTTTGCTTTTGACATACCGCTTTGGGGCTTGGTGTAGAGTCGAGACGAAAACCAAACTGGCACAGCTGGCTCGCTTCCTGAGTGGATGTGGCCAACAAAAGTCCTGAAACTGGGTTTTCCCATGTTGAGTGTGTGTGTGTGTGCCAAAAGCGGGGCCTGGACACAACAATGATCCGCATCGGATTTTCTTTTGAGAAAATTAAGCAACAACCATGATCGTTGCGTCTCCAGCTGTTTTTGGGTATGTGTCAGAATCGGGGATCCCAAGAATAGGTGGCTTCCCTGTTGGTTGCCTTTCAAACCAACCTTTCCAAGGCACCCCCGCAAAAACAGGCATACCCTGTTTGCGGCGAGGTTCCGCTAGGAGGTTCAGGATAGCGTCATTGGGCACGCCTGCGGAGAGTCCAAGCGACAGCTTCCCAAAGCGTTCTTGGGCGGGCTGGCTATCAGGAAATATCAGGAAACAAAACATGTGACGTTTCGCTAACCCACTAAGTTTTGGACACCCGCTAAACCGAAACACAAGTTTGCAGCAAGGATGTCGCGCAATCCTTGCAGCTGTGCATTGTCTTTGCCGTGTGCCATTTCAAATACCCAAGCGCAACTAATCAAACATGGGCTTGCCCCTGAACTAAAGGTTCATCTGTTGGTCTGTTGCAACCATAGACTAAGACTGAACCAACATCAGCAACCGAAAGTTCAATTGATTAGGTAAGACTTGGGCTTGAATTGGGAAGTTTTCTTGTTTGTTGTTGACCCCCCTGCTAAAAAGTTTAACTTTTTGGGGGTTTAGTGGAAAGCACCTCTATTTCCCAAAAAGTTAAAGTCTAAAGATCCAACCCAATAGCAGTCAAGGTTTTACAGCTTCCCTGGGAGCCTTGTCTCCCAAATCTCTGCGCCTGACTCCTTGCCACGTGAGGGCTCCTCCGCATCGTCTTCTTCGCCTCCCGCGCAGTCCAAAGGCGTCAGACCAACTCCGAATCTGCGGGTCATGGCGTGGGATTGTTTGCAAGACAAGGGCGAGTCTTGTTCGAGGGTACCCCGTTTTTGCGGGGTTGTGAAGGGAAACCCATAGGAAAACCACTGATTTGGAAGGCCACCAACAAATGGGTACCAACTCCAAAAAAGAGAGACCCGAACTTCGTCGATTCCATGTCGAATTTTCTTGTCTGAACAGGTCTATCAACCCCCCCCCGCCATGCAAGGTTACCAGAATCAGAAAGGTTCCCAGTTCAGAATCGAATCACTCTGTGGGGTTTCTGAACTGTGCGAAGTGGATTTTGCAACCATCCACAGTGAAAGCCTCATAAGCTTTGGGACCATCAAACCGGAGGCATTGCTCCCCGACCCAACCAACACACCGGTCACGAGCAGAGATCGAGAGGGAGGACGCGCCGCGCCTTTCTTCTTCTTGGCCTTGGCGCCTTTCTTCTTCTTGGAGTCGCCCTCCTGTGTCAAAACGTCACCCGCCCGGTTTGCCCGGTTCTAGCAAACCCATTGACACGGGTTTCCTCCAGCTTCACGTCAAAACAACAGGTGTTCTAAGGTCTCTTGCTGGGGAAAGGACGACAGAAATTGTGCTTTTCATATGAGTAGGGAGCTTTACAGGAAAACCATTAGTTGCCAACAATCCCCGATGTCGAACAGGGATCATCTGGGTATCCGTCTTGAACCCTCGGGGCTTTGTGCATTTCCCGAACAGAGAAAGTACCACACCTCAGCACGAAGCATGAAAACACCCGACGCTGCCAGCCATGGCACTTGGATGTTCACCCCAGCGAAAATACCCATGGGTATAGTAATCATAGGACCAAACCCAGTTGCCCCAGTCGAAACCGTCATAGCATATCAAGTTGGTAGACCACCCAAGTTGGCATTCTGCCCATCCGGAACGCTGCCTTCAAAATTGCTTCGACCGACTGTTCGGGCTTTTCGCTAGGGTGTCCTTGGTTGCGCCAACAGTTCAACCTTTTGTGGGTTCAATGGAAAACCCGTGATTTTTCCCGGAAAAAAAATAAGAAGAACAAGTTCAAGTCTAAAGATCCCAACCCAATAGCAATCAAGTATCCCGTGTGACCTTTTCAACGCACCAGAGCCGAGTGGATTCTCGCCACATCCTTCCACGGCAACCGCTTCACCAGACCCGGCTGGCCCCAAAGCCCCGAAGCCCCGGAGCCCGGAAGCCGCGAAGCCCAGCCTCCTCCTTGGCCTTGGGCTTCAGCGACCGCTCCGCCGCCTTCTGCACCTCCGAGTCCAACGACTTGGCGATGCCTCAGCGAAAATGGGGGTGGGGGTGCCGGGGGAGGGGGGACAAATGGAGCTTTGCAGCACTAGATCCCTCCCAAAAAATCGCCCAAAGGAGCGAGCCATTTTCAGGCGCTCCATTTATTGGGGAAGCCACTGGAACACATAGAAACATGGAAAGCAAGGCCATGAAATCCACGCAGCGGCGCGCCGGATCAACCGCCGAGTGGAGCCGGGCCGCCTTGCAGCAAGGCATTGCTCGCCGCCACGTGCTCCAAAAGCACCTCACTGGGCGTCTGGAAGCCAAGACTTGGTTGACGTTGGAAGGGGAGCAAAAATGAAATTTTAGCAGTTAAGTGGGGATTTCCCACTAAACCACAAAAAACAAAAATGTAGAATGTTTCCCAACGACAACCATGAAGAGGTTTCCCCTTTTTGCAACAATTATGGGAGTCCATCCGTTGTCCATTTCTTTCCATTATCTATTCTCCCTGTTTCGGAAGACCTTATTGAAAACTCAGTTGTGCAGTGCAGTGACCCTGGAAAAATAGGGAGCCCTGGTTGGGGCTTGGACCGTTTTTAGTGGGGCAGCCACCAAACAAGGGGGAAAAGGGTGCCACTGCACGAGAAAAGGTGGTAGGCTGAATTACCCTTTTCCAACAATCGAAGTGGACAAGAGGTCTTGTTGACAGGCCGGTAGTCCACTTCCATGATTGGAAAGAGGGCGACCCTTTGAGGTGCCACTAATTACATCGGGAACACCATGTTTGTTTCCCGTTGCCCCCCCCGCAAACAGTTCTACAAACGGGTGCCCGCAAACATGTCCAAGTCTAAGCACGTGAAACACAACCAAATCTGTCATACCAAAGTGGGATTACCACTATAAAACGGGCTCCCTTCTCTCATGCAATATTCTCAAACCCGGATTCATCTTCCTTGTAAAAAGGAACCAATGACGGGTCCTAGTGGAAGGCAAGGCCTTTTGACAATAGCACATTTGATGGTCCATTCCTACAAAGATGGGTTGGCCCTCAAAAACCCCTGCACAAAGCGATCCACCTTTTGCTGTTTGGGGGGTCGACCCACAAGAAAAACTCGCGATATTTAGTGCAAACGCAATACAAGGGTTTTGCGGCTGGTTCACTTCGATCTCGCTTTGCTTTGGTGAATTTGAGCCAAGCCGCCAAAGCCAAGTGAGGCAACGATGTGTGCATCAAACATCCAGTCTGCATAGTTCTTTGTTGGCGTGCCATGGTTTGTTCCCCAAAACATCGCAGCTGCAAGTAACTCAGTTTATGTAGGTAACCAGCCACGGATGCTTCCCCTGGTGCCCTTTGCAGCTACAGTAGCCATGTAAGTGGAATCGCTGAGATTGAAAAAACCGCCCATGAAAGGCTCGCAGCTCGCGACCAAAGATGAACAGAACCAACCACGACAACACTTGAAACTCGGTGAAAAACAAACCACACAAAAAAAAGCGCACAAAATGGAGGGCGTCCTTTTAGTTTCCCTTGACACCACCCCAAAAAAGAGTTAACAAAAGGCCAAGCAAGGGCTTGGTCTCCAAAACCCGGCAAATGGCCATCTCCTGTACAAGTCTCCCCCTTCACACCAACCCCCAGAAGAAAAAAAACAAAAGCGGGCGCGCTTCGAATCTCCACAAAAAAATGACCCCCCCCCCTGCCCCAACTCGGTTCTCCGCGGCGCCGCGGAGTTGGACAGCTTCTTCTGGCTGGACAGCTGCAGCAGCAACTCAGCCGCCTCAGCGGCCTCGGTGTCGGGGGATCCAACGGACTCGCCGCCCTACCCACGTGCAATCCAGCCCATCCGGCCGCAAGGATTCAAGGGATTCAACTGGAGCTAAGCTGCAGCTTTTGGGCTGCCAGAATGTTCCGATAGTCTTTATCGTGGTTGTGAGGATCCGATCCGCCCTATCAACCCCATGGCACTATCCTACAACCTAACACGGAACCCACAAGGCCATCCCACCAAAGAGAAGAGCAGGCGCTGTTCGGCGATGGACCACCCTTGGTTCTCATCTTGATGCCACGCAGCGCATGGTTGGGATCGTGGACTGTGTTTGCCAGTGGAGAGGTTAGAATAAGTTGGTACCGTTTTTTTTCTTCCCTGTAGTCTATTTTAGTAGGGGGAACTCTCCCCAAAAAAAGGGGTACCAGGGCACTACTGGGGAACCTAGTTGCGCGACATGGAGCATTGAACATTGACCACTTTGTTGTAGCCTCATTGGTTTACCATGCTCAAAGTCAACCTGCAAATTGCGGGGAAAAGAGAAACCCCCATGTTCTGACTTTGATAAACCCCAGAAACAGTCAAGCTAATGACCTCAGTTGATGCTGGGGGGTTCCTCAAAACCCGCGGTAAAGAGCCAAGGCGGAGATACGCACGTGTTTATGATTATGGTCATCTACCTGGGTGGCTCAAATGGGGTTTGATGGTGGTTTGGAGCTCGGCTAGGAGGTAGTTCTCATTTATCCTCTGCAAGAACCAGGGGTTCAAATCCATATCCAAACCACCAATCCAAAGCAACTACTAAGGGGCCCTTGATCGAACTTCCATCTGTCTTTTCGCCTGGAAAAATGTGAAAATATGTCAAGTAGTGATACATTCCCTTAACAACCAATTGGGGAAATAATACAATATTCCTTGAGAGCAAATGGAAGCAAACTGGCACAAGGTGAGAAATCCGTTTGTGGCAAAGCACGGGGAAATACTTCGAAATACAGTCTCTCTTTTTTTCCGGCGCTGAGCGCCGAAGCGACCCTGAGTTTCTGTTGAGTGAAGCAAACAGGTTGAAACTTCAAGGAATTCTTCCAAAAGTTGCACATTGACATGATTGCTGAGGGTTCCAACCCAATTCCCTGACATCAAAACAACTCGGAACTTCGGAGAAGCCCCCAACCCCCCACCCCCCCCCCCCTCCGCCCGCCCCAAGGCTTTGGGCCATTTGACTGTTCGCTTCTTTACGTCGTGCGCAGAGGCGCCGCCAGCGCCGGCGGCAGCAGCGCGTGAGCATCCACCCAGGACTCCGCAGCCACGGCCTGAAGCAAGCGGATGCGCTGTGAGAGGGCTGCCAGTGCCCAGGTTGTGATTGTGAACCCAGGGAAATCAGGTGTCAAATATTGTATTATATATATATATATGGCCCCTTTCTTTGAAAAGAAACCAAAAGGAAACCAAAGCATTCCCCTTCTCTACGGGGAAACCTTTTCTGGGAGGCCTAAGATTTCAATAACCATCCCACAAGCCCCAATTTCGGTGCTTTGACCACACATTCGCAAAGGGAAACACTGGTTGGAATCCATGGAATCTCAACACAGCCGTGGAAGACGTGGTCTTTGGTTGTTGACGACACAAGAAAGAAAAAAACACCTGGTTGTTTCATCATGGCCGCGGAGCATTTGGACACAAACCTGCATCCTTCCCTCGCTTTGAGCCCGCGGAATTCCGCTCCTTGCGGCCCAGCGGCCTCGGAGACGGCAGCGAGGACCTCCTCCACCATGTGCCGCGACACGAAGCAGGAAAGCAAAGTGTAGCCATCCGCCTCGCGAACTCGACTCGAGTCTGCGCCGATCAAAATGATCGGCTTCATAACCGCCGGTCACTTGGAAGGTGGAGAAAGCGGGTTTACCTAATGACTCACCCTGTTTAGGTGCATCAACGGAGCCCTAAGGGTGTCCACATGCTTAGGGGTCGTTCAGTTTACCAATGGCATAAGGACAAGCAGATTTACGCCACCTTTGTGGCATGACGGCTGAAGCTGCACATGTGGCCAAATACAGCAGGTGAGAACCTGGTTCCCCAAATCTAGCACACTGATTGATTTACTTTTTTATTTACACCCAAACCTCCAGTGGAAGGTAAAAGTAGCACCTGCTTGTGGTAGTTGATGCCAACAGTGCCCTCTGAAGAGAAACATATAAAAATGGAAATCCAACCACTAGACCAACTAAAAAGCTAAAAAGCTAAGAAGACAACCGGATGGCTGGGAACCACCAAGAAACGTCACTCAAGGTCTGGGTCCGCGCCTTGCGTTGTGCCACCCACTCCTTCAACGTAAGCCCACTGGGCTTGACCATGGAGGTGGTCAAATAGCCGTTGCACTCGAAGAAGCCTGAGGATATTCAGTAGAAGCCCCCTGGTTGCTAGACAAGGTGCACCCCATAGCGGGGATCCGAATCAGTTTGGAGAACACTCCTGGGGGTCCTTACGTGGCCTTGCATAGGCCCAACTTTACACATCGCCCCATCAGAAGGACACTTACTCTCAAAGTGGCCCGGGAGGTGATGTGTGATCACCCAAAACAGGAAACGGAAGGACCACTGGGCTACCAGTCTTCAAGTGAAACACCTTGCTCCATGCTCCGAAACCTGGCGTGAAGCTATCTGTATTCAGGGCCACGGTGCGGAAATGCTTGCAGCCTGCAGCCAGTTATGTCATACTGACAATTTGCTAATACTGTGGATGTACGAAATCCTGCACCACCTAAGAAACCATGTTTAAAACCATCGTTTGTTGGTATTTGCAGGAGAATCATCATTCCGGGGGTTTTGGGGTGGTTCAGGATTTCGTCCATCCACAGTATGACGATCTGAAGGGGGGGTTAACAGTTCCTCTGCTTGTGCAGTTGAACATCGGCATACCCGCCGGTACCCAATTCGAGCACCGTTGGTGAAAACAGGATGGGCAAACTGACTTTTCCCAACCCAAGCAGCCACATAGACTATGACTTACATGTACCAAAAATCCTTTGAAAGCTGGGCACTGGAGGAATGGCTTGCTTGCGTGCACCAGCCAAAGGCCCTATGTCTAAACCCCATTTTGAGAAAAACAAAACAACTCCCATGACCCGCCGCTTGCGAGGAGTCTCTGGTCAAATTGTCCACCCTACCTACAAAGAAGAAATGGAACCCAAGGGGCTCTCTGGCTTGAGATTTCTCCATGGTGATCGTTCCAGTGGATATTCAGCCCATTTAAGGGTGTGTCTCAAAATTAAAGAGCTAGGGTTGCGCAGCTTGTAGTCTGTGGTTCCGTTTACCAAGGACGTCTTGAGTACCAGTTTTGTGAGCCACAGCCACCTCACCGCTGGCTTCATTCCGGCGGGTGGCTGTCCACCTTCTTGGTCTCCAGCTCCGTGTAGCACTTCGGCGTGAAGGTGCCGCCCTGCAGCTTGCCCTGCACCACCTGCACCGAGAAGACTGCTGGGTTGTGGGATCACAGCCGACTGCTTGATACCAAAATCCGATATACTTTATCACTTTGGAGGGGATTCCCTTGGTACCACAACAAACTGACCCCCAACCCAAGATATTCAACTCACGTCAGGTAGAGTGCTTCGACTTGCCCCACCAAGAACGCTAAAGCACACCCATCTGGGTCGGCGATAGATTTCTTTTAGACCAACCCCAACCACAGGCGTACCTCGAAAAAAGGCACGTGTCTCTGTGCTTCAGGGTACCCCTTTTTTAGTGTTTTTTTCAAGCGAAAGAAAGAAGAAACAGAAAACGGAAATCGCGGCTTTGGGGGGTCCGATTCCCCAAACAGAAGACGAGGCACCCTGGCGCGCGCGCCTCCTCCCGGATCAGCTTCTGGACTTCGCTGGCCAGCAGCTCCGCGTCCAAGCCATGCCTGGCGAAAGCGCTGGCTTTTCAGTTCGGTTCTCGCTGGGTTCCAAAAGACGACGCTGAAACCGCGACAAAAAGCGACATTCCTGTTGATTGCTTTTCTTAGTTGGCAGGGAATGAGAAAGGGAGCGACCCCATCCCATCCAGCCATCCCGCCAAACCAGCAACCATACCTAGGGCATTGCAGTGTTTTTATATTTTTCCCGGGGTCAGCTGGAATGCCCACGATAGAAAAACCGGGCATTCGGGCATCCCTAGGTCTTAGGGTTCAAAACGGAAAGACCCGAACCAAAAAATACACATCCGATGTGGATTCCTGTATAAGGGAATCCCCAAAACCAGTTCATTCCAAAAACTTGGACCCGGTCATTCCCTACCTATCGCACAGGCAAGTCATGGAGACGAATCCCGGCTCGACATAAAAGGATTAGGCCGCACGGTGAAGTGGGTAAGAGGTTTTTTGGAGGACACCTTGTTCGCGATTGTTTCAGCATGCCATCAAAAGAACCAATCCCCTTTCCTGCACACCATACTGAGGGAAACCCGTTTACTCTTTCCATCAATGGACTTGTCAAGACTGCCACCCCCGTACAAATCTCCAAACGTGGCCCTCCAAAGACATGGAGCATGTATAAGGCAAGGTCTGTGGGTGTTCGCAACCCTTGCATACATCTGTAACATCTACCTTACTTCCACAACCTGAAATCAGAACTGGATCCCCAAGTAAGGGATCTGCGTGGGATGAAAATATCGGTTTACTGAGATGGATAGACGGATGGATGAATGGATGGGTAGGGGCGAGCGGCCTTACGATACGGCACCATTGTTGCCACCCTCGCGGCATTGGGGCACCGCTGCACCGTAGTCAAGCCCGCCACAGCCGATGCACAAGGCTGGGAGGCATATGCCGAAGTCCACCGATGCACAAGCCGATGTGCATGTCCAGGGCATCCTTCAAAGACTTCTTTGGCGTCTCCAAAGCCCTTCGTCCTTGAAGGCTTCTTGGGGGGCATGGTGAGCCGCGTAAGAAACGCAGCTACTTACATGGGGCATGTGTGTGTGCATGTGGACTTGGTGGCAAAATGCTCCGCTGCGTCTGGAACACGTCTGGAACGGGTCTGGAACGGGGTCTGGAACGGTTACGCGACTTTGGAATGCTAGCAAGCATGTAAACATGGTCGTTTCAACAAATGTGACGACCGAGAACGGTGTCGAACCGTTACCGTATCGTATCGCACAAATAGCGGCGGAATCGTATCGCACCGAACCGAACCAAAGTTCCGGAACACCGATACTCCTTTCTGCATTTCTTTCTCCTTCTTCCCTTGCTCCTTCTTTCTTGCTCCTTTGCTTCTTCGCAAAAGACAAATCACCTGACCATCTGAATCAATACTCTAAACTAGACATAAATATACATAAACAAGGTCTGGAACGGAGGTCTGGATCGCATGTGGGTTCCAGACCCTGCTCCGGACCTTGTACATTGACTCGCAGTCAAATGTTCTTAATGTGGGTGAGTAAAGTGGACGGTTATGCCATAGCAACATACATTGTGCCATCTACTTTCACCCAATTGTACGTAACAGTTAGGGGACTACAACCTACTGAATAGGTTGAACATGCTAGTAGGATATCTCCACGGTAAGAAAATTACTTTCAGGCACCCCAGCTATAGCCATGGCCACTTCCCCGACAGCTACCCTCAGTTTCCCCTGCTGCCATGGCTATCACCTGGCGTTGAACATCCAACCGGGCTGCTGTCCTCAGATTCCCCACTAGCGACTAACTTTTAATGGGCAAAATTCGGCAATCCAACCACTAAACCAACCAAAAAGCTTTAAAAAAAGCTAAGGGAATGGCACCAAGATAAGTAGGGGATGTCTCACATACTGTGGATGGACAAAATCCTGCAACACTTCGACACCATGGCAAACCATTGTTTGATTGGATTTACGGGGGGAATCATCATTTTACGGGCTTCTTAGGTGGTGCAGGATTTCGTCCATCCACAGTAGGGCACATTCCCGGCATGCCTCGCCGCAAGCTGCGCCAGCGCCGCCGGCTCCGTGCACGCTCGAAGGCAGCCCCTGACCCGGGCCTGGCTTGCGGGCAAATTAACATTGAATCCCAAAACGGGGTTCCATGAAAAGGAGATCGATTTTGGGTTTCATCTTTATCATTAGTTTACTGATTATCATTTGGGCCAAAATGGGCGTGCTGCCAATGTAAAAGGTTGCCGCAAGCGTGTATTGATCCTTTAGGCCCGCGTCGTATCACTTGTGTAAGGGTAAGATCAGCTGTGAGCGCCATTGTATAATGCGTTCGTGTTGGCAAGGGTTGTTTCACCGCAAACCAAAATTTTCCGTGGATGTCAAAAACATGTACAACATGTGGTCGTCGAGGGAACCGTTGCAAACACAGGGCTTCTGTGAACGTGCTTCTGATCATCTTGGCATAGGTGGGAATCAGCACTAGCAAAGGCTGCCCGGTGTATTGCAAGTTGAACACCTTCTTGGACAAATCGGCGGCCTCCGCTTCTATAAGTAAGAAGGGCGGGACGTGCCCAAGAACGCCTTCAGTCCGAGCTGGAACATTGACACTTGGTGCCAAACTTGTGAAAACAACCAACCAAAAAGCTAGTTTGGGAGTTTCTCAAAATGGTGGATTGCCCGTTAGGTAGAATTTCAAGAGAAACCACAAGAAAACCGCTTGACAGTCACTCGTAGATAGTTTTTGAACTATGCACGTAGTATTTGCTGGTCAGCGCGAATGATCCTTCCAGAGATTTGACGTGTCCTTCCTTCAAGTGGTGATAAGGTTCATGAAGCTTTCCAGTGCGTCCAGAAGCTGAGCACTGTGTCAGTCCGAATTACTCCCCGGATCACTCAATCGGTGGAGCATTTTGAGAAGCACCCGCGAACCCCGTCAAATTTGCCGCAAATGGTCTCACTTCCTATGTCCCACTAAAATGGTCCAAACCCAAGAAGTGACCCAAGCGACGGAAACGGATTTCGATCGGAAGTGAGTGGCAGATCTAGCTCTTGGCACTTTTCGAATGCAGGCGCCTCCACTCGGGCAGCATAAGAGCTGGTGTGCACAGTGCTCTGCCTCACCACCGCCTGCCCGGAAGGACGTGGGATGAAACAGTCGTCCTAGTGAAAATAGGGATGTGGATCCCTGACATGGTGGTACTCCCTTTGGTTTCTCTTCAAACCAACTCCAAAACGGAAAAATTGAAAACCCCTGCGCCCCAAAAAACAAAACACACACACACACAAACATTGAGATCTTTCAACCGACAGCGACATCTTGAGAAAGGACCAAAAACTGTTGAGATGGGTTTATGTTGTTAAAATAAACAAAATAATCCCTGCTCCTCAGAACTTGGTCCCATGTTTTCCCTTACCCTCTCACCAACAAATAAGAATTAAAGTGCACCCTTTGTCCAACAGAAAGTACAGTAGTCTTCCAAACAAGAAGACTATGCAGAAACCATATTTGTCGGTGGGAGGGTAATCACTTTCGGGAGAGATGGTTGCCAACAGCACAAAAGAGGGCCCCGTGGCAAACTGGCAAGCGGCCTTATCCTGCCTCGGACATGCTCAGCAGCACGAGCACCGAGTTGCGGATGTACTCTGCTGGCAGGTTGTATCTACCTGGGCGTGTGTGTGTGTGTGTGTGGGATGCGTCAAAATAGGACCCCGCACATGGTCTGGTGGCGTTCCTTTTGGTGTCCCTTTTAGTGCCAAGGGTGTGTCTCAAAATGTGCGACCCCTCCAAGCGGCTGGGTTCCTCTTGACTTACTTTTACAAGCCATCCAAAAGGACAAATGCCCTGTTTTGACAAATACCTGCCTTGTGCTGGAAAAAACGCATCCCATGCCCACAAAAAACAACTCCAGGGCACAATTACACCTCAAGTTCGTCGTGCGGCAATCGTGCCGGACGCTCTTGTTCAGAATGCTCGCCCATCTCCAAGACCAAGGGAAAATATTCCAGCTTCACTATCTTCGGAGGTCATATTTCCGAGCCTCCACATTTAGTCCACCCCAATTTTACAGAGGCCTCAAGCAACTTACACCCCCCACCACGTTCGTTCACTCCGTTCACTCGCCCGCACTCCGGGCTCCTTGTCGGAAGCCGAGGCGCTGGCCAGGTCCGACACCGCCATGCAGCCGCTCTCCTGCAAGCTCTCCTCGATCTCCTGGGCCACCTGCTGCAGGTACTGCTGCGAGAACCTCAGCTACCGAGTCAGGCGGAGGGGCATGCATGTGTGTCTCTAGGTCCTCCAGATTTGAGAGGTTAGAATGAGGGTACCAACTTTTCTGTAGTCTATTTTAGTAGGGGAACCCTCCCCCCAAAGAAGGGGAAAAGTGCACTACTGGGGGGCCTAGGCATGGCGTGTGTCTTAAGAGCTGCGAGAGAGAACCTCAGGCGGCGACAGCTAGGAGCTGAGAATGGCACCCATGGGGTGGCTGAACATAGGAATCGGACGCCCCCCACAATTGGTTGGGTTCTCTTTGGCTGCTCTTTAAACCAACCCAAAAAAAAGTACCATCAAAAACTCACACACACCCATATCGACATGCACGATTGGGGAAACGCCATCCCAAATGAAGTTGGAGATTTTGGGCCTTGTTCTCCCAGAACTAACGCAACAGGGATTTATACTAAAGGTTGGGTCATATATGGGATCCTGCATTCAGCCCCGTCAATTGCTGGCCCAACCACCACCCTTCCGTCAACATGGAACCCACCAGAGCCAGAATCCCCCCCCATCAGGTTGCTGCATTGATAGGAGGGAGTTAAAGTAGGCCCGAATCCACTGCTTTCAACTTTGCCCAATACTGAACCGTTTGTCCAGGCCCTTTCGATCAACTCTAAGAAACAACCCTTACCCGAACCTCCAGTGGCCATGGAAAAAAGGGGAACCTTCTTTGGCAGGTACTGAATTCAAAGGGACACCTTCTCCAAAAACGGGAAACAACTGGAGGTCTGAGCGCCGTTTCCCCAAATTCGCGCCCGGGTGGCAGCTCGTTGTGGATCTTGTGCAAGGAGCTGTCGCGCTTCCGCAACATCTGGCGGATTTCGATGGACGACGAACAAAATCTGAGCTGAACGCGGGATGGTTTGGGCCGTTCGAGTCATCAAAACCGTGCCTTTTAATGGTCAACCCGCAAACATGTAAGGAATCCACAAGGGCGGCCGCGCCTATTTCTGCGTCCGATACTAACCTTCAACTACCCCGGTTTTGATCGTGACTCGTTTGCAGCTCAACAAAAAGAACGCTACCATAGCGCTACCCCCCCAGCAACAACAAATGTGGTTCCTCGCCAAGCCTGGAGACAAGCCTTGAGCCACGACCTTCCTGTCAGCGGGGTCAGTTCAGCCACAACTCCCGCGCCCCGGGTCCAAAAGTCAGTCCCGGTATGACCTAACTCACCTTCCGAACTTGTGCTGGGACCAAAACCACGAAAAAAATACCTTTCGGGTACCCCTTTCGGGTCTTCAAAGGAAGCCAAGAGGAACGCCCTTTTGGGCTCCACCGATTTCGGCACCCCACAAACCCCTGACAGTGTCCAATCGAGATTCAGGATTATATATTCCCAAACCGCCTAGGTCCTGTGGAGAGGATAGAATAAGTTGGTACCACCCTTTTTCTGCAGTCTACTTTAGTAGGGGAACCCTCCCAACCAAAAAGGCCAACGAACTGGGGGACCTAGCTGGGGGACCTTGCCACATGCCCACTTTCGCAAGGCTCGACGCACTGATTCGCCTCCACACGGCTCTCCACGTGCTCCAGGGCGATGCCGATCTCGTTGGGCAGCTCTGTCACCGAGATCCGGCCACCACAGGCCTGCAGTGCAGCGGGAACGCTCGCTTCCGGGCGCGCGTCAGGGAATCGGTTTGGTTGCTCAGGGACAGAAGTTTGTTTAAACATGTTTAAAGCGGTGAGCACCCAAATCCAATGGATTTTGGTTCTACAATGGTGTCTAGAAAGGTTTATGGGACATACTACCACCCCCATGAAACTGAGTAGTAGAACCACCTGCCAAAGTGGCCAATGAGGGATTTAGGCTGTTGCACAACCAAACAGAGCAAGCCCAATGGTCCGGGGAGCTCGCAAGCTGACCTGGACACGTTCCAAAAGGCATCTAGCCAGTGAAAGGCATGCTTTTGAGATGTTTTAGAGGGACAAACCCACATTGCAAAGCCTCCAAGGGTTTCTCTATGTTTCATCCAACCTGCGGAACTCAACATGAGTTTTGTTTCTGGGACAAATTTGTGTTGGAGCTCAAAACAAAAAAGCATGCACATTGTCCCCAGCAATAAGGCTCCATACATTTCCTCTGCTGCTTGCTGTAAAACATAATTCAGATGAGGCCCTTCAATCAAGCTGTGTGAATAATAAATTTACCCAACCCAAAAACAACAAGTCCCCCCTGAACTATGCAAGAAGTCATGGGTCAGGCTGCAACCTTTGTAGATCCCCTTTCTTGGAATGCTTCAAGAGGACATGCTTGGGGGGCTATCTTGGAAAACACCGAAAGACCTTCGAACAAGAGCACCAACTATAGCTACTGCGATAATGCAAAGGTACCCGCCAGAGCGTCTTTCTACGCCGGAGGTTCTGAAACTTTGTAAAACACTTTGGACCTTCCTCGCTTTTGCGGGCCGCTATCTTTGTCCAAAAGGGGTCGCAGAGGCAAACACGGCAATCGATGTCTGCGTCAAGCCATGTGCCTGAGCGCAAAGGAACCGCCAGAACGGTGGCCACGGGGAAAACGCAGGGCCCTGAATTTCTGCAGACTAGAAAAAAGGAAACCATTTTGACAATCAACGGAAGGGGCGCTTGATTCTTGGTAGGGACTTTTCACACGGTGCACCTTCTAATACATGGGTCTGCCCGAAGGAACCAGGTCGGGAAGACCAAACCCTGGCAATGGCAACGGAGGCCTCAATGCTGTCGCGAATCTCCTGAGCACCGGTGAGGAGTTTAGAAAGAGACAAAACGTTTTGTACTGGCATTCTGTAACAGACAGGCAGGCAGACGGGCAGGCGGGAGGGCAAGCGGACGGACAGACAGACAGACAGACAGGCAGGCAGAGAGGCAGAGAGGCAGAGAGGCAGAGAGCCAGAGAGGCAGAAAGGCAGACAGGCAGACTGGCAGGCAGGCAGACTGGCAAGCGAGCGAGCGAGAAGCAAGCAAACAGACAGTCAAACAAACACACAACACACAAGCAAGCAAGGAAGCGAGCAAGGCAAGGCAAGGCAAGTCAAGGCAAGTCAAGGCAAAGCAAGTAAACAAGCCAGGCAGCCAGCCAAAAAGCAAGCAGACAGGCAAGCAATCAAGCAAGTTGGCAAGCATGCACGCACGCAAGCAACCAAGCAAGCCAGCAAGGAACACACACACAAACCAACCAAACCAAGCAAACCTGCAAACAATGCAAACCAATGAAACCAAGCAGATCTAGCAAACCAATACTAACTAACAAAACAAGCCAAACCAGCCAAACCAAACGTTCGGTGCTCGTGTTGTGGTGCTCGCAACTCAAAGCTACTGCTCCCCTGCTGTGAGTCGCCAAGCCAACATCTGTGGGGACAGCCGCCACGGATTATTCACAAAGGGTTTAAATCGCACGCCAAAATATTTGAGGTCACGAATTGTGCGGCCTCATGTTTGGCTGGACATTGCCGCGATACTCATTTTGTCGGTTGTCTGAAATCACTATCCTTCGCTGAGAATGAATCTATCCGCTGCACTTGGCTTTGTTGGACCAAATGGAACGCACATGATCGCACTCAATATCCTAAAAGGTCCAGCACTCGGCGTGATGCTCTTAATCCCTCGAGTGGCCTTCCGCCTTCAAACATCACCCCGCCCAAAATACAAACCAAATTGGCCAAATCATCTCCAAGGAACATTGTGTAACCATCAACCATTTGGCCGCATCATCTCCGAGGGACATTGTGAAATCATCAACCGTGATCCTTATGCCTCGAACTGACTGTGAGTTTTTGGTCAGCTGCCACCATTTCATACAATGGTAGCGTGCTGAGCGGGCCTAGTTCATTGATTAATAGGGTGTGCCCTTCAAACGGGCCAGTGGACCCAAAAAGCTGGACCCAGCTGATATGGACCTCAAGTTAGCTGCTTCCAAGTCGTCAACCCCAATATTGGGGATAATACCAGGTGGGTCCGACTTCCTTGGTCCGAGTTTGGTCCTATTGATGCGAAACACGCGTGTGAAGGAATCACAGCTTGACCATCGATCAAACCAGCCGAGTCTCGTTGTCCAGCTGCTCCGGAGTGAGGTATTCCTGCCACGCCCACTGGATGCAAAAACGTGGCGCCGGGACGCTGAACATACCAAAAGCTACAAAGATAAGGGGATGGCTGGGAACCACGAAGTTGTGCAGCCCAAAGGGAAGACATACTGCGGATGGACAAAATCCTGCATCAGTTGAGATGAATGACACCTTGTACGTATTGGGATAAGCCACCTAGCAAGTGGTGCAGCATTTGACCCAGCCACAGGAATTATTGAAGGGGAAGGGCCTGTTGGGTGCAAGCCCTGGTTCCAGGCCACTCCTTGCCATTGCTGGTGTGGAAGAGCTTCACCTGATCAGTTGCGATGAGCTTCTGCACCAAGTCGATACCTCACAAGCGGCTCTTGGAAAGCCCAGAGCCCCCCCCAAGTCCAAGATTGAAGAGGCGAAGAGGCGGCAGGTAGCACGTAGCACATTGGGAACCATTACACAGTACTCTCAGGCAGTATGACAGGATCGCACTTGCCTTAGAAGCAAGCCTAACATGAAACCTCACTGGGGGTGCTGGAAGACCACATTCTTCTCAAAGGGACACTCTGGTGGATTCCACCTTAAAGCGGACAGGAGGGTACCACCCTGCTACACTTATCGTAGGAACAACTGGAACATGATCCAAGGGAAGTCTTGCGCCGTTCAAGTCTGTCTGGTTCTTCCAAGCAACTTCGCCGCAAGTTTCACGACCCAAGCTGTCAATACATCCAAGAAGACACAAGAGCTACATGTACCTCCATGCTTGCGAATGATCCACTTGCGTTCCGACTACCCATGCATTCGTTTACGGCTCACGGGTCACGTGAATGGTCAGGGAGTACCCTCTTTAGGATTGGTCGAAAGGGACAAAGGAAGACCGAAGCACAACATTACTTTGTGGCGGCTCCATATCCCATTTCACAGCTGCGCAGTGACCCGAAAGGAAGACAGGTCCACCATGGAACCCTTTTACATGCCCCCCTTAAGCTTCTTTGATTCATGGGTCATGGGGGGGAACACCTTCCCTTGGTCGCTTTCTGCTCCCCTGCTTGAAGTTTAACTTTTAGTGGTTTGATGGAAAACCATTAGTTGGCAAACAATTTAAAGACCTAACATCCAAGCAAAATGCACCCCTGTTCCAGCCTGAAACGGGCCAAGGCGCAGTTTCGCTCCGAGATCTTCCGCACGTTGGAGGCCTTCTGGGCCTGCCGCGATGCATCGCGGCTCGCTGCGCTCGCTCGTGCGCGCCGGTGGGGTCGCGGCAAATGGAAGAACAAGAAGGGTACCATCCGCGGCTCCGGAATCGCTGGGACCCTCTTAAAGGAAAGTGGTGGGTGGCTTTGCGTGGAAGCCGCCAAAGAAATGGTGGCTTGCTTTTGTCCGGAAGGTAGCCAGGACCCTCCAGTCAGGTTCCATGGGAGGGAAACCCCCAATGACGGTAACTGAATTCCCGAGGATTGGTCCAAAGTTCCAGCTCGTTGTTTACTGCCACAAATGATTTCCCCAAATAGTCTAAAGTCCAAAAACTCAGGGGCAACAAGCGAGGAGCCCGAATCCCAGAAATGCTAACCCATAGGATCCTCACTTTGCGCTAACAATCCTTTAACTTAAACGGCCTTGATTCATCCGGGGTCGACGACTCTTTAAGAAACATCTTGGAATCCCTGCAACAAGTGAGGAGAACTTACTGATGTCCTGACAGGTTAGAAAAGTCTAAACGTTCCTTTTATCACTGACATGGTCCAAACCCAGAAAGTCAAAGTCCGGGAACTCACGGAGTGAGAATACCTGCTTTTTTCCCATGGCGTCAAAGGAACATCTTCCGGCCCTTCCAGCGGCTTTGCGCGGGCCGCGGGCCAACGGCGCGCCTCCATCAGCTGCTGCTGCAATGCGCGGATGGCGTCCATGGCGGGCAATCGACACCTTTGGTCTGAGAGCCTTTGCTTCACGTGCGATGGGGTTCGCCTTGGGAATGCGAACCCGACAAATAAACGCCTGGTCGAAAGAAGGGGAAAGCCCAGGAAAGCTCCCTGGAAGACCGATTCCCTGGGACGTGTCAAAATCTGCAAGGTGTGTTCATCCTGGGCTAGCAAATTCAAATGTGGCCAAGCCTTCGGTCCTGTTGTTATCTAGTTATGTAAGAGGGCCAACCTAAAGAAACGACAAGGAACAGGGCCTCACTATTTGGGAAGAACCATCTGCGGATCTGAGGCGCAAGAGCGCGCCAAGGGGACCAAACCTCTGCCGGTTGGGCGGCTCTGCCAAAACAAGACCTGAACATAGAAGTAGTGAGCTCGTCAATGCACCAAAATCGGAAACCTCAAGGTTTAAAGATCCGCGAAGTCCTGGATAAACCAATCATTGACACATGCTAACATCCAGGCGCATGTCAGCTCCAGTAGCTGGTGGCATGGACCTACAGCCGAAACGGCTGCTCTCAAAAACATGACTCGGCCTGCGGAAACTATAGACCATTCTAGAGTTACAACCAGGCGGCATGCCCAACCAATGGGTACAATCACACATTTAGAGATCTTCCAAAAAAAATGGGTGGGCCATTCGGGGTCCATGTGCTAACTGATTGATAGCCATAGTTTGCAAGCCAGACCTTCATAGGTAAGCGCGTTTTACACCCAGGCCTGTGCTTTCCCTGCAGCTTGCTGAACTTTGCCCAGACTCGTGCATCAATTTATATGGCTCGCCCTATCATGTACATTTGTTTGAAGTCAAAATGACTTGCCGAGAGCATCCAGTGGGTGAGGAGAGATACAGATTTTGGCCGGGCCTAAATACAAGATATTCTGGTACTGGCAGTGTGCACTTCAGGCTTGAGTCATCAACTTCAGTACCCTCAGCCACCACAAAGGCTTTGGCTTCTCTCCTCAGGCCCCACCTGGAATTCCTGAAGGGTTCCCACGACACAACCAATAATGTGAGGGCATCTTTGAAGTGAAGACTCCGTTTCGAGCGCATCGCAAGAAACTAGTTGCTTTGTGGCTTTTGGCAGCCACCTTTTGGGCACGACATGGAAAGGGCTCATATGTGCCATGGTCAGAACTCCTTATAGCTATGCGGGTGATGCGTGGTTCCCTTAATATGTGTCTCGCGCACCCAAAAAAATGCGAGTTTCCCTTTCAAACCGCTCCGCTCCAAAAATAACGCACCCATCTTCGTGGTTCGAATACTTTCGGCCTGTGCCCTTATGTGCCATTGGGGATCAAACGTCTCTTTGGACGGGGTCCTACGCCTTTTACATTTTGGGACGCGGCACCTTTGCTTTCTCAAGGGTGTGCAATTGACGGATTTCTCACTGGCTGATGGCCCACAAAAAGTCCAAACTTTATATTTACCACTAAAGGGGTCTTCACAAAAAAATGAAGGTCATGAACTCAGGAAGTTTTCTCAAGGGGTGTGCAACTGACGGATTTAGGGAGGCAAAGCCCCATTTGGAGGTTCCCCGATTTCAAGACACACCTTCAAAGGGTGGATTTGAAGGCCACACGCCTTTCTGCTGGCCGCACCTTTTCGCGCGAGAACTGCGCAGCAGCCTCAAGCCGAGGTTGCAGCCAAGCTTGGAACGCCTCCAGCGACTCAGCATCCTGGAGAAAATCGAACGAGCCACAGAATCAAAACCCGCCTGCACCCTAAAACATGCCGTAAACATGGGATATATACCGTGGAGGAACGAAATCCATTTCGCACCACCTCAGAAACCCTGGAATGATGATTCCCCTGCAACTACCAACAAATCATGGTTTCTCATGGTTTCAAAGCGGTGCAGGATTCCGTCCATCCACAGTATTGTGATTTGGCCCTGTGCAACATGTTCCATGTTTGCGGGTAGTTTGAGGGAACTCCCACTGAAAGCAAATGTCGCAACCTCCCCAATCACGCAACCTCCATCTGTCTGTGTCTTTGGAACCGTAGAAATGGCGTGGTCATGATTCTCCTTTGCAAGACTGTGACTGAAGAACACCCAAGCTCACCTCATGAACATAGGAAAACCTATCAGAACTTTGACCAGAATCGGACCCGCTCGAAACATCAGGTCAGAAGCCTTGGGTCTTGGGTGTGTTTGGGTTTGCATGAAACGTTTGCAAACCTTCATGGCCTGTTGTCCCCTACTTGAATGTTCAACCGACTTAGTAAATTAGGCTATAACTTAGATCCCAGCGGCCATGAGCCAAAAAAAGGCATCATCTTTTGGTTGGTTGATTTTAAGTGGGAACCCTTCCCCCAAACGGGGCCATGGGTCAAAAGCCCGTACCCCCCTGTGAACCTCCCAATCCCCACTAAAATAGACTAAAATGGGTGCACCTACCCAAGATCCCATTGCCTTTGACCCTTCCCCCAAAAAACCGACGCAAAAACACCACTGGGCACCACTGTGGTCGCCGCACCGATCTGCCGAACGGGCCTCGCCTCCGCGTCCGCGCTCGCCTCCGCTTGGGTCTTGGCCGCGTCTCGGCGCTGAGACCTGAGAGAAAACGCCTGGCGCAACCTCGGGGACTTCAAACATGTCTGGTCTGACTGGGTGCCGTCTGGAGGGTGGATGAAGAAATATGGTTTTACAATTGTTTGAATACCTGAACTCAGAACCAGAACAGGGGATTCTGGCGCAAAAAAAGACGCGTGCCGCTCGAGCTGGCCAATTGCCAAACTCCAAGCAATGCAGGGGGAACATCCTGACAAGCCCAAGCAAACCCAACACGGATTAGAGAATACCAAAAACACCTTGAGACAACCAGAAGCACCTTGAGAAACCAGAAGCACACATATTTCGAGAAACCCCCCCAAAAAAAACACAAACAACAAAATCAGAAACTTGATTTGGAAACTCTATGGAAACCAGCTTGTGTTGAAAGAGTTCTGGCAATGTATTGGCTGTTTGGCATTCGTTTTCTCGAGGTCTTTTATTTGCTGTGGGGGTGTTTCTGTTCTGGCGGTGGGGTTTCTCGAGTTGTTGATTTTGTGTTTGTTTGTTTTGGTTTGAGTTGTTTTGTCTTTTTGGAGGGGGGCTCTCGAGCTTCTGTTTGGCCTTTTGGGCTCTCCTTTTTTAAGGGGCAGGTAGATTGAAAGCAACAACCAAGAACAACCAACTTGTCTTCCCTTATCAGGCTCTATCAGGCTCTATATTACTATATCACATTTCAAAGCGAATTGTACTTGATGTCCTGCTTGGAACGCGGATTCCTGTTTAAAAATCAAAATCAAAATTGAAAATTGGAATCCAAATGAGAACCTTGCCTGAAATTCGAGCTACAATGGGTTTTCTTTTCCAAGTACGAATTTACTTAGGAACTGGATGGCAGCTAATAAGGACAAACAAACTTGTTGTTTCTTCTCATCCACAAGCCTCTGAAAGGAAGTGAAGAGCCAGTGACAATATTCATGGTTTCAAGTTTTAAACTGCAATGCTTTCGTGTTGTAAAGCGCGCCAACGCGCGAATGGGAAAAAAAGACAGTGCACGCATTAAACCTTTAAGTTTGTCTTCAACCAGGGTCAAAATAGGGGACCCCTTCCCACAAAACACAAAATTAAAGGGCCGGATAACCCCACGTGTGTAGCACAGGCTCGCGGGAACCAGAAGCACGCACGGTACCCCGCAAGATGCGGAGTGAGCGCGAGTCAATGGAAGAAGTGTGTGTGAACGAGTCTGCGCGGTGCGTCATCTTGTCTCATTGTCATGTAATCTTTCCTCAAGCATGAACAGAACGCACAATCTTCGAAATGCGGCTAACGACAACACAAGCGCATCCCCAAAGTCAAGCACACACATGCTATCTTATCTTAATGGTTCCCTGCGTCTGTGCCGCTTCCAATTTTTACGGCAAGCAGCTAACAGCTAACATGTCAAACTACACCCTGCCGCTGCCACGCAAACACACAAGCAGAGAAGTGAGTGTGGGTGAGTGGAGAGTGAGTGAGTGAGTGAGTGAGTGAGTGAGTGAGTGAGTGAGTGAGTGAGTGAGTGAGTGAGTGAGTGAGTGAGTGAGTGAGTGAGTGAGTGAGTGAGTGAGTGAGTGAGTGAGTGAGTGAGTGAGCCACTGTCACGCAAAACAGGGCCCTCAGCCGCGCGGTCAACACCCAAATGCAGGAAACGCTGCGCCTGCCACGAAATTCGCAAGTCATCTCAGAAGCGCTACGCTTGTCACGCACAACAGGCCCCCCAGCTGCGCGCTCGGCAGCATCCAATCCCGTTTGGACACCTACCTAATGCCTGCTCATGCCACGCGAACGTACACCCAGATGCAATCTCCAAAGCGCTGCGCCTGTCACGGCCTCCACCCGCGCGCTCGAAAACATCCAATCCCTTCAGACATGTCCACGTCACGCAAACGTACACCCAGATGCAGGAAATGCTGCGCCTGCCACGCAAGCCATCTCCAAAGTGCTGCGCCTGTCAAGCGAAACGAGGCCCCAGCTCCCCTTTAAACAGCCACCAAATGCTGCGCCAGGCCACGCAAACGTACACCCAGATGCAGGAAAAGCTGCGCCTGCCACGAAATTCGCAAGCCATCTCCAAAGTGCTGCGCCTGTCAAGGAGTGGTGTTGAGTGGAGTGGAGTGGAGTGGAGTGGAGTGGAGTGGAGTGGAGCGGAGTGGAGCGGAGTGGAGTGGAGTGGACTGGAGTGGAGTGGGATCCACCGCCCCGGACAAAGGGAAACGAAAGACACCCTCCCCAAGCAACGCTTGGCCGAGCAGCCGCAGGTGCTGCACGGTCAGGTCCGCCAGCCAGCACCAAGGCCCTGAACCCTGGTGCTGAGGGAGGGCCAAGGGGCAGGGCGGTGCCCTAAAAAGGTGCATCTTTAGATTCTGGTCAAAATGTAAACTCACATAGTGGACCGTTAGAATGCTTTGTTTGTCAAAGAGGTCGCAGGGAGATGAGCACAAGGAGTATTCCTGCCCAAACTCATTCGCCACAGCTTCCCCAGACCTCAACAACGCACCGTGGGACTGACATGATTTACCATGTTTGCGTGGAGCTGATGGAGCATTGCTTTTTGGCAAAGTCCAGGCAAAGAAAGAAATACACGTGTGACCCTCTCACCAATTATCATGGAACCTGATAGGGGGCTCTTGGATGCTCATGTTCCTTTAGGGACCCCCTGTCAGGTTCCATGTTAATTGGCGGGAGGGTACCTATATATATATATATGTATATATATATATCTATATATGTATTTATTAAATATATATATATATATATTACAACACAACTCGTCACTTTGACGTAGTTCACCTTTGGCTTGGACCACAAAGGCGTGGCCACTTGCCGCCTCATTGCCCTGTAGAACATCTAGGCACCCGTGAGAGGGTTCTCGAAGTGAAGGGGGGTCACAGGGCCTATCCCAGGGTGGCAGTATGAGGGAGAATCAGGGAATCAGGGAAAAGCACGAACTTGCTGATTCTTACGCAACCCACCTGAGTGTTTCTGAAATGGGTGGACCCGAAAGGAAACCAACCGTTACGGGACCACTGTTCCACAGACCACCAGACCACCAGTGACCATAGGCTCTCTTTTCTTTGGATGCTCACTTTGAAGCGAAGCCGAACAAAAAGTATAGAAAACAACACCATCAGGTGGCTTCCCTTCGGCTTGCCTCTGAGCCACCCCTTAAAAACCCCCGCCTCCGCCTCGGGCTCCGCGTTGGAGGTGTCCTTCATTCCCAGGGTCACTTCCGCCGGCAGCGCGCCGGCATCCAAGACCACCTGCGCCGCAAATGGTGGAGGGACCCAACGGCCAGCGGAAGCCTCCGAACCCTTCCTGAAAGCTTCCCGAAACAACCTGAATCAGCTTGCTTGGGAAGAGACCCCTTTTCTGCTGTCAGCTGTTGGGGAATAAACAACAACATGGTTGACATGTTGGTACCAACAGAAATGAGGCTGTGTGCAAAGAAAGCCAACGAATAGCCCGGCGTGGTTTTTTGGTTTCCATGTAGCACCTCTTCTGTTCTCCTTTTGGGACACCGGTTGGTTTCCCACGAATATTTCCAGTGACCAACCAATTATGTGACTCGACCTTGAATTGGCATGGCCAACCAAAGGTGCCGCCCCTTGTCCCGCTACCTGGTCCTATAGCGGTTGTGGCAAGGCTAGATAAACAATTGCTTGGGTGTACGTTTTGGAGGGCAGCCTTTTTCAGCTTGGTTTTTTGCACAACTTACTGAACAACAAGCAACACATTTGCAAGCCATGGCCATTTCGACATTACAAGGCAAAGAAAACACAAAGAAACGCGTTCAGAACATGAGGCCTCTTAAACCTCCCACGAATGGACCAAAACGCAAATGGATATCCCAAACTTGAGGATGGCGGCATGCGGATTTGTCCTCGTTGTGTTTTGACACGTGTCCCTAGGGTGAATCAGGCAACCCCGAAATGGGCGGGTTTCAACAAAGACTGAAGAGGAACTCCAAAAAATTCGACACGCCCAAATGAGCCGTGGTTCTCTTTGGAATCCGTATCAAGGTTGTCAAAAATCAAAATGGCCGACCTCCAAATCAGCGGTTTCCTTGACTTAACCCTCAACAGGGGTTGCAAAAAACACAAACTCCCCCATGAAAGTGTGTGTCTGTGTGTTTATGTGTCAACTTCCACGATTGGAAGGAGGTTACACAAAGATTGACACACAGCCTTTCGCTTTTTTTCACGAGGAACAACCAGACCTTTTGTTTGACGGTTTTCACGGGAGCCAAAAGGAACCCGCGTGGATGCATTGGCCCCAAATTTCGAGAATCACTCCATTTCTTGGAAGGGCTTTCCCCATGTTCACCTACGCGCCCCTGTGGACTTCACTCGACAAAAACGCACACACAACCCGCGCCAAACGCCAAAAAGCCAAAAACGAAATACAACCTAGGTCCTCCAGTAGAGAGGTCAGAATAGGGGCACCAACTTTTCTCTGTAGTCTATTCTAGTAGGGAAACCCTCCCCCCCAGAAAAAAAGAAGGTAAAAGCGCACGCCTGCGGGACCTAGACAAACAAAAGGAAGAAAAACAAACACGAAACCCCGCCTGGAAGCTCACCTCAAGCTTCGAGGCCCTTAGCACCTTCCAGCGGCCGCAGGATTCTTCGGACGCCTTGCGGACCTTGCGGCGCAGGGACTGGAAGACGGCGTCCTCCCACCTGGAGCGAGGTTTTGCTGGAGTCTCCTTCTGGCCGGGGTGGGGTTGGAGGGCTCTCGGATGGAGTAAGCCCCAGATGTTGCCTCACTGCCGGAGTCTCCTTCTGACCCTAAAAAAATGGGGTCATCGCCCAAAATCAAGGGGTCGTGGACCCATTTTTAGAGGGTCATGGAGACTCCAGGGAGGTCTGTGGCGCGTAGATTCCGTGGCTGCGAAATCAAAAGAAATCCCACAAGCGGTCTAAGAAACCAAACGAAATGAGAGGAGTCCACTGGAAATAGAAGCAGGCAGTGGTTTCGGCGGCTTCAAAGTGGTGCAGAATGCCGTCTATCCACTGTAGGTGTCCAACCAGAAAACATCACACCAAAAAAAGGAAGCTTACTTCAATTTGGCCCCAGATGCTTAAATAAAAGCCACAAAAAGGGAACATATTTCCAGACCCTGATGATTTACCCTCAAACAAGGACAGACCCATACTGTATGGCCCATACTCCCCAAAAGACCAGCCTAAAAATGGGCTTCTTCTTTTCCTATCCAGGTGACAGCAGCTCCTGCGCCGCCAGCAGCGCTTTGTGCAGCGCCTGCGGCCGCTCGACGCTTGCGCCGTCCAGGTCCGGCGCCGGCAGCGGCGCGCTCCTGGGGAACCGGTTTCGGTTTTTCGGGTCGCCAAGGCTCGGAGCCCGTCCTCTCCGGGCGGTTGTTGTCTTCACATAAAGACCCCCCAAAGGCGTGGTTTGGGCAGATTTTGTTTCTTTACACAAGACCCCCGCCCAAAAAAAGACGTTTGTTACATGGAAGCCCTCCCCAAAAAGGACATGTTCTATACGGAACGCCCCCAAGAAATACGTGCTTTATAGGGCACCTCGGCTTTCTCCGGCCGGCAGATGTTGTGTTGTTCTAAATATGGAATCCAAAAAGCAACGTGTTTAGAGGATTTGGGTGTGTTTTGTTTCTTGAGGGTACCTTGTTTTGCGTGGAACCGCCCCAAAAAGAAATCATGTTTAGAGGAATCTCCCTTTGGGGAAAGGATCCTAGAGGATTTGTTGGGAAATGGACCCTTTCTTGGGGCAACCCATGATAATTGAAGGGGAGGTTGTAGCCATGCTAAGTTGTAAGGGACCGAACCCAAGAAACAAAAAACAAGACTATCTCTACGATAAGCTCGGCAACCCGCTAAAAGCAAGACTGGGAGGCTACGCATGGGTCCAGTTTACTAGGTGTCCTTGTCGGTTGAAAAATAGATGGATTCCGCTGTAATGAAAATCATGAAAACAACTTGTCTTTCTATGTTCATTGCAACCAAGCTGACGTGAAAGGACCCCTAAGTTCCCTAAGTGTGAGAAGACATGCATAAAACGTATACTGCAAAGCGCCGGATGCCGAAGCTTGGTTTGTCGATCGAAAGTTTGTTGAAGATACACTCGCATGGAGTTGAGCAAACAACCCGCAGAGAGCCGAGAATCAGAGGCTTTTCCGAATCCATATTGTGGGGCCTGTCATACTAGACATGTGTATGGTAACGGTGTATCGCCCTTGGATGCTGACATCAACAAGCCACCTTCTTCAAGCGCGCAAATCCGTGGAAGGGTGCCATGCCCGAAGTAGCTCAAAGTGCAGGTCGTTCCCAGTGTCCAAGCCCATTCCCAACTTCGGAGGGAATGGGAAACGATTGTGTATTCTTGGGGTTGCTCCGAAGCATGTTTAACCACTCGTCGGGCAAAACAAGAACACACATCCGCCCGAGGCCCACTAGGCGACTGGGACCAGCCCCGCATGAGACATACCAGGCTGCCCAGCTAAAGCGACAAGGAAACACTTGCACAAGCAACATGCGAGAGGAACCACGGACCACGGGGCCGCTAGCGTGCTATCGACAAAAAATACAAATACTTCCAGTGGTGATTAAAAGCAAACAAATCCCCTTTAAACAGAACAGTTGTTTTTCTTCTAACATAACAATAAATACAAACCCTACATTCTTACGCAAGTGGAAGCAATTGCCCCTGGAAATGTCTGGTCCGACTTACAAAAATCTCAGGCGCCGGCGGAGAACTGCGCCCTCGGCCCCGCTCGCTGGCGAAGGCCGCGAAGAGCCGCCGCCGCGGCTGCAGTGTGGCGGACATCTCCCAGGGGAAGCTGAGGCACACGCCCTGGAGGGTCTGGCCACGGTCCCACAAAGTCCATCAACTCAGGGGAGTGGGTAAAGGTCAAAGACCCGCGCAAGTTGCAGCTTGCTTGCTGACCCCGCGCAGAAAGCTTAGCTTTTTGTGGATTCAATGGAAAGCCCAGGGTCTCAACCAGAAGTCGTCAGTCAGTGTTGGCCCCTGGGACCCCAAGAGCAGACCCAGAGGTTTGTCCGTTTGGGGAAAATCGCAGGACTTCCCTGGTAGTTGAGGGACCAGGTAAACCAGGAATCGCCCTCTATGTTTCAACCGAAGCAGCCAAAAAGGACACCTGTGTGGCGGACCCTCGCCTTCTTGGAGTTGTTCACCACCCCCACGCGCCGCCGCGCGATCTCCGGCGACCAGAGCTCCACAGCGTACTGCCCGCCCGCGCAGTGCCTTGGATCAAGCTGAGTGATAGAAGCCATGTACAGGAACTCCACAGGAAGTCAGTGATATGCTGACCAACACCAGGGTTCTGGTCTAACTTCCTGGCTACTTGGAGAGATGCATTCATATCCCCCACTCAGAAAGTTGTGGGGCATCCCCCATCCATCTTCAAAAGCAAGCCCCTGATTGTTGAGTTTATTTGTTTTGATGTGTGGGTGATTGAGCTTGTCGGGTGTATGATCCGCCAAACAACAAGGGTCGCTCTATATATGTGTCTTTCCTCTTTAACCATCATCCCATATTCTTCAGGGCTGCTTTCTTTGAACTCCTCTTGGCTTTCGTTTAATCCAACTAAGAAAGGTCTCTTTAAACAAGCAGGGTGCGTCTTTCTGCACGAGTCTTTATTTGGCTGGGTGAAAGGGACACCACCAGGGAAACCCGGCATTTTGAGGGTCCACATCCCCTGATTTTGACCGACACTCCCACACGCGCCCAAGGGAGGGAGGGCTCCGACCCCTTGCTCTTCGAAAGGCAAAGGCCAGTGATGGCCCAGGAAGAGCAAGGCCGCCTCCATACCACCGAAGAGCTCCGGCATGGTCTTGGTGAGCCGACCTCCGTTCTGAAAGAGCCGATTCTCCATGCACAAAAAAGGTGGAAACGACCCGATGGACTACTGGAGCTTTGAACCAAGCAGGATTTGGCCTGTTCAAGGTCTGTTAAAGGAAAGGTGCCCTCAAACAGGGATCCTTACATGATACACCTGAAGATTGCCTTGTATACACCTGAGCATTGCCTTGTCATTGTAAATGGTTGTTTCCCTTTATTTTGGTGGAAAAAGCCATGTTTCAAATGGTTGCAAAATGTATATTTTAAGGAGGGATTCATATGCAACATGAACACGTCGACGATGGCACATGTAACGATGGCTCCTATGAATGTCATACGTGGATGCTCAACCAACTTAGCAAGTAGGCTATTACCACAGCAAGTGGGAACAATTCACATGGAATTTACTAGTGAAATCCTGCTTGCCAAGTGAGTTGAACATCCGAGCATGGGTATGTATTTGTTGAGGGTGTATAACCCTTTTGGGGGGATGTTCTGGAAGGACAACCTAAAGAAGACTGAATCAGGAAACCTGCCGCTAGAGACACCTACAATGGCCTTCGCTTTATATGTGGCGTCCATACGGTGCTTGCATGAAGGTCGGATCAGCTCCCTCCCCCCATCCTCCGCTAAAAGGGCCCCGGCCGCAAAGGAGAAAGGACAAACCAGAAGCCAAATTTCATGGCGTTCATCTTGAAATTGTTGGGTGTGTTTAGTTTAGGGGGCCCTCAAACCATTTACATTTAAACTAACCCCACAAGGCCTACGCAAGAAAACACCACACACACACACACACTCTTGATCTTGCTGGTGGTCCCCTTAAAGGAAATCTCCCGGTTGGATGGTTGAGGGGTCATGTCTCATTCCCTGCACCTGCACCGATCGCAACGGATGTTTCCAGCAGCGAATGCCAAAAACGCCGCCCGCCTTTCACAACCTCCAGGATCTCGTTCTTCCGCTCCTGCAAGGGTCGCTGAGGGACCCACTCAAAGACCCACTAGATGCCCAGTGGATTTCCATGAGAAAAAATAACCGACATCCCTTTTTGGCTGGTGGTAATTAAAGGGGACACGTGTCCAAAAAAACATGAGAAAAAGGGCGCCACTGGGCAACAAAGGGGGGTGAGTCCCCAGTTCCACGTTTCTAGTCTCTAGGGAAAAGGTCTCTCTGCCAATGGCTAGTTTGTTTTAGGGGGAACTGACACTTCAAATGGATTTCCGAAAAAATCTTAAAGGCCACACCCCTCCATTCATCCCGTTCTAAAGGGGGGCAGGAATTTCAGCGCGGACCAGGGTTTATCTGCCAATGACTAATTACCTTGTTCCCCTCTCTTGCCTTTGGTCGAACTCGCTCAGGCCATGCGACCAGTTGATACCTCTGTGTTTTCTTGTCATCAGCCAAGCACATGTGCATCAAGAATCAGGAGTCACCGGAGGTCCCTCTCGAAAGTCTCAGTTGCGCCACTTCCCAAGGCCCAAAAAGACAAAAAAATCTGAGGGATCCCCAAGAGTGATTCCGCGCATGGGCGCTTTCCATGCGGGGAGGAAGTTCGTCGCCCTTGCGCCAGTGTTCGGTTCTGGAGTTCATTTTGGCTCACTTCCTGAGTGGATGCCCCAAAGCAAAAGGTCAAAACTTTTTGGTTGCCATCAAATGGTCCAAGCCCAAAAAGTTAAAAGCGCTGGAACTCAGGAACCGACTCACTCATATAAACTCCAGCCTGGGGGGGTAGACTGTCGCTATCATAGGTGCGCAACTGATATGTTCCTTCATTGGGCAGGGGGTTTTGGCAGAGTCCAACCACTATTTGGGGAGCTGCGTGCCTGGTATGCTCCAGAGTATATTCACTCAGGGCGCCCTCCAGCGCCTCTTCATTCACTTATTTGGGTTTGGCGGTTCGGGGCGACCACTCCTTGGAGACTCATGACCCACGAGAGCGCTTCTCAAAATGGCTTATATGACTCTTCTTGTTTTCTTGGCTTAGCCACACAGGGGAAAACTAACCCCCTGCCTTTTTTTGTTTAACCCCTGCTTTTTTTTGTGGGGGGGGGGGGGGAAAACGGCGGGCGACTCCTTTGAGAGAAAACGAGAAAACCCGCCGTCTGGGGCCCCAATCCTCTCCTGGGCCTCCTGCTGGTGCTCCGTCCAGCACCGCAGCTCCGGCTCGGGCCGCTCGACGGTGCTGTGGAGGTTCAGAAAGCCTCGGGGCGGCCCTCCGAACAGATCCGACCTGCGAAAAGTGAGCGACTTTTCGCTGGTTGAGAGGGAACATAATAAACCAGAAGAAATGGAACTAAGATACAGGCACCAACATTCTAAGATACCAGTGTTTGCCCATGATTTGAGGTTGGGGGGGGGCAGGGCATGCCAATCATTCCTCATCAACATGCCACTTCCACCCTCCCACCCTCCCACTTCCACCCACCCTCCCACTTCCAAGGTGTCCTTTCTTCATGTGCCACATGCCCTCCAACTGTCTCACTTCCCACTCCCCAAGGATGTCCCCCCCCCACAGTTACATTTGCCTGCCCACATCCCAACCCTTCCCTGTGCCCACATCCCAACCCTTCCCTGTGCCCACCCCCTGCACTGTGGCTCGGACTACTTCATGGAATACTTGGAGCAGCAGTTCACAGGGAGGGAGGGAGAGGGTAAAAACATAGGCACCGCTGAAAAGCGGGTAGCGCTGAAAAGCGCACCTTTTTTTTTGGGCACGTGGTAAAGATGACCAAGCAGGCCTGGCCAGACAGGGAGGATGGTCATGGGGCACTTTAGCCTGCACCAAGACTGCAATATTGAATGGCCTAGTGGTCCATACCCCTGCTTTGCTTTAGAACTGTAACAACTGAAAAGTACTTGCCAGCACAGAGGGCACAACCATTTGGAAAACACAGGACCTGCTAGTTCATCACCTGAGATGTCATTCGCATTGGGGCCACCTTTTTCAAACTTGCTGTTCAACATCATGAAGCTAAATAGTGATTGGCTCTCTTTGCAGCATTGAAGCACAAGATTACTTGCAGCAATAACTGAATCCCAAAGCTTCATGGTGAATTTTAATCTTAAATGCATCACATGGTTGTTTGAGCCCTGGATTTACAGGAAGGGATGTACAAGAACACTTTGCAAGCATGGGACATGTATAGTTGTCAGGGAGCAGGTGGGCAAAGTGTAGGCTGCAAGGTGTCTGGGTAGTGGCGTTCAGAAATTTCTGGTCCTAAGTTTCCATTTGACCATAGCACCAAAAGTCAAATTGAAATGAAGCTTCAGTCAGCTCTATGCTTTCACTTGCAGCCATGCTGCATTTGCACACTTGCCGTCAACCATAAAAGCAGCCGCAAAAGGGGCAGCAGGACACTAAGGCTCAAACCCTGCAATACTAAGGCTTAGTTCACTAAGGTCCCAGCAGAGCGGAGCCTGCTGCATACTAAGGTTCAGACACTGACTGAGGTCTGACTGAGGTCTGCACACAGCTTTCTAGGCAGTGCAAAGGCTGGCTGGGCAGAGGGCTGGGCTAACATGCCATTCCAAACAGCACTAAGTGAATGCAATGTACTGTTCTGGCCACTGCTGAATTTGGGTAGCCTCCAGTATTGCACAAGGCATTTTGAAACTGCCAACTGTTTCTCTGGAACTTTGCTAAGCCCTCAGGGCACTCATTGCTCCTCATGTCTTGGAGTGTCCCGCCCAAGAAATTCAATCAGCACCAAAGATGCAGGGACAACCCAGTGGATAATCAGGGAACACTCTGTGTGTGTGTGTGGTTGATGGCAGCTGTTTCCAACAAGAAAACGTTCAAGCCCACAGGTGAGATGTCTGACCTGCTTTTCTGCCACCCAGCCAAGGCTCAAATTCTGACAGTACCCATGGGCTGGTCCATAAACAATCTGTCATTGTGAAATGGCTGCAAAAACATATTCCAATGGAGCGTTGATGTCAACAACAAAATGCTGTTTGGCCTAGTGCTTCTATCCTTTACCCTTGCCCCTCCATGCCTTGGCTTTCCAAGGCATGGCTGCAACCCACCCTAGCCTCTTCATGAGGGGTTCCATCAGCCATGCTCAGGTTGCTTGCCTGTTGGTGCCTCAGACCATCCTCAGTGCACTGAACATGCTTTGTGAGCTAATCCTGAGTTGATGTAACTGTAAGTTGCTACCCAAACGGGCTTGGTGCAGGGAACCCTGACTCACTGCCTCTCACCCTGGCCGCTTTCTGGCTGAGGCCTGCTGCCCTTGGAGGTGTGCCAGGACATCCAACCTGCCTTGGGCCCAGACAAGCCAGCCGACAGCGCCTTGCATTCCAAGCGCCTTGATTTTGGGTGTATGTTATTGCAGGGGGTTCTATATGTCTTGACAAGGAACAATTGCTGGTAACAGTAAGGGGCTATCTTTTCATCAAAACTCATGTGCCATTGTGAATGCCGTCATCCTTTGGCAAGCTCTGTATCGTTAGCTCCCCCATGCAATCTTGCACTTCTCTTACAGCCTGATGCCTCTTGATTTTCTTGGATTTGCCAGCAAGATGTGGTTGCAGTTGTGGTTCAGGGCTGCTGCAAGCAAGTTGCTTGATCTCTGTGATGCAGCAGGTGTAGGCTCAAGGGCTGTTGGCTGTGGCAGCTTTTCAGCCATGTATGTGAACAACCTCTACATCATTCAGAACCAGAATGAGGTTGGCACAAGAAGGAAGCCACCCTGCCAGCTTGCCAGAGACGCCAGACTAAATTGGCAAGAACATGACAGTCATAAATGTGCGTGTGCCAAAAAAAATATGCGCGTGTGTGTGGGGGCTAACTGAGGATCAAGTGCGAGCAGCCAGGAACCGGCTGGTGCTTTTCTCAGCTGCTGGCATTTGCCTATCTAGGAACTTCTTTGCTGAGGGCACAATTCTGAAGCCTTGTCCTGCTTGGCTAAGGAGAAGGCATTGATGCGTCCTCAACCTCCTGCCCCGCCTCAACAGGCAAAGGAACGGGGTTCAGTAGATCATCATCAGCATCACCCCCACCACCGTCATCATCATCATCATCATCATCATCATCATCATCATCATAACTAATCATCATCATCATCATCATCATCATCATCATCATCATCATCATCATCATCACTAATCATCATCATCATCATCATCATCATCATCATCATCATCATCATCATCATCATCATTGGTTCCTTGTCATCTTGTGTTGGGGAGAAGAAGTAAGCAATCATTCATTGTCTGTTAAACACTGAGACTGGCTGACAGCTTTGATGGTGTTTCTTGGGTGCTTCTTGGAAGGAGCATCAAAAGGCCTGGAATTCCTGGACTGGAGCCTTAGCATTGCAGGAGCAGCAAGAGGCTTTGGCATGTCTCAGGTGCTTGCTTTTTGGTGCCTTTCAAATGCAGGCAGAGGAATATCTGGAAGGGAGCATGGGGAGGAGTATGAGGAGCCGCCTGCGGAGGAGCAGTTTGAGGAGGCGAGGCGTGTGTGCATGTATGTGTGTGTGTGTGTGGCAGAATTTTAATGACACACTTACTTTTTAGCCACTGATGGTGGGGCATGTGCTATCCCTTGTTCAGTCAACGGCCTGGCATTGGCACATGTGGCTTGTCACTTGTCAGTCAGTGTTGTAGCATGTGGAGAGTCAGGTGGCTGTGGAGAGTCAGGTGGCTGTGGAGAGCCAGGCCTGGAGGGCCAGCAAGCCTTCGCTGCATCAGGCCAGCAGGCCTCAGGCCAGCAGGCCCCCAGGCCTGCATCAGGCCAGCAGGCCTTCAGGCTTGCCTCAGGCCAGCAAGCCTCCAGGCCTGCATCAGCAAGCCACCTCTGGCCTGCGTCAGCCAGCCACTGGCCCTCCACCCATTGGTGGCAAACTGTCAGCCACCAGGGCCACCAAGCCTGCTTCCAAGAAGAGGCCTTCCGCACCTGCTGCCAAGAGTATGCCTGTGGCCAAGAGGCCCAAGGCAGGGGCTCTGGGCTGCCAAAGTCTGGTATTCATTGTTTGCGTGGCCAGGTGTATGAAGTTGATTCAGATGATGATTCTGCAGTTGGTGAGGAGGCCACTTCCTTGTCCTTGTGCCTGCCTTCCTTCCATGCCTGGATGAGCATGTGCCCAGGCAGCGCCGGAGGAGGCCCAGGCAGCAGCTGAGGATGACTCAGAGGACTTTCTTTGTAGGAACGAACCAACCGCCAAGTTGAAAGAAATAAAGGTAAGCCCGCTCTGTTTCATGAAGTTTGGGATAGGCCACCACTAGCCCTGGTGCACACTTCTTGCTGAATGCAGTAATGGGGACAAGGAATCAGCTTGGCTTACTTTGGCAGGAGAAGGATGAGTCCTGGGGTCTGGGGTGATGGAGGCACGCAGATCCCACAGGAGGCACAGCAGATCCCACAGGAGCTTGCCTCAGAACACAGTACTTGCCCCCAGCTTAAACATGACTGTAGCTTGCATTGGGCTGGCAGGCGCACGCAACCACCAACCATGCTCCTTGTCTGCTCCTGACCAGGAGCTTGAGGACGCTGGCTTCACAGATTGCGGACAATGCGTGTTTGTGGGGCCCATGGATAAGTTTGACCCGGACAAGATGTTCCCAGACTTCGACTTTGACAATGTGCCGGTGGCCATTCTCAACTGCCAGAAGAAAGAGCTCCCTGGCTGTTTGGTTAGGTGGACACAAACTGCTGCAGTCCTTTTGCTGTTGGCAGTTCAGGGCCAGTTTGGCAGAGCCAGCCAGGTGCTATGTTGCTGTTTGTTGTGCACTCTTGGTCATTGCGACTCTAGAGGAATGGCCAGTGGTGGGCAGACCACCTTTCCAAGTACAACATCCCCTTCTTGGCAGCCAATCCAAATTGGATGAAGTGGCGAGCCAGCCAGCCAGCTTGGCTGCAATTGCAATAGCTGGGGGGCTGTGGGCAACGCCTCACCCATTGGGCAACTGGGCCATGTGACTACCCGGGTCCAAAACTTGCTCCCTGCAATGAATGGTTCACCTTGGCCCCAAAACACCCTTTGAAGCCTATTCAAAGCCCTTCAACAGATTGGAAAGTCAGAATTCAGAAGGCCAGAAGGTCTTCCCCCATGCTTCTGGCATTCAGGACTTGCGGCTTTGGGCCCAATATTTTAGAATCTTGGTCCATGCCTTTGGCTTTCCAAGGCATGGGTGCCCCTAAAATAATCTTTATGCCTAGGCCATCAAATGTGTTCTGGGGCTTGCATGAGACCATGGCCGCCTCTGCCCGTATGGAAGATATCGTCAGAGTCTGAAGTCGGACATGGTACTCATTGGGGGTTCGACTACCCCCTGGGCCGTTTATTTTGAAATTGCGTTTGTCGGGCCTGGGTCTGCTTGTCAATGGGTTAAGAGTCTGAAACATTTTGTGGCCAGGGAAAGT